TGGGGTAAATGGATTTATTTATCCATAGTAACTGGGCTCTCGGTCTCGGCTAGTTATGCAGTGTTTAACTTTGCCCGGGGCTTCTGTTGGTTGGGGGGCGTGGCATTTTCATTTTCACGCGCCAGCCGCGTAACTCATTTTCGCCTCAGAAAAAGTAGGAGAGCGAAAGAAAAAAAATATATAAAAATAAATAAAAGGGAAATAAAGTTTCTTTTGCTGCTACTTGGCACATTCTTAATTTCTTGCGTATTTTGTCAAGACAAATTGAATTTTTATGAGCGTCGTCGACGTCGACGTCGACGCAAAGAAATCGCAAAAGGCGTCGCAGCCCCAGCGGCTGCAGCAGCAGCAGCAGCAGCAGAGCAAGCGAAAACTTTAAACTTTTCTCATCTTGTGAAATTCATTTTATCACAAGTAATTACTTTGTAAATATATGGGGTGGCAGACAATGCAGCAGACGTCGCAACGTTACGTGAATTGCACACGCAGCCTTTTGGCCATTTGAAGAGGGCAATAAAATGGCTGGCGGCACAAAAAAAAGTAAAACTTAAAGACTGCAACATGCAACAAGGAGTGAAACTTAGAATAGGCACAGCAGAAGTCCAAATGCTCTATATGAAATGTATAGAATACAATTTAGAAACCCATTGTGTTAAGAATTTCACTTTACTTATGTTTCCATACCACCCTACTATGCGATTCTCATGGCCTCAGGTCGCATATCAAGATATTGATATGATTTATAGTAAAATGTTCCCCTTAGATTTTAAAAGCTAGTCATCAAATTAACCATATACCCTTTAGAAAAGTACAAGTAACAGCCATTTTAAGGCTAAAGTGATCCCCATCCATACGGGTTGCGTATAAATTAAGTAACTGAATAAATGTGAAAGTACTCACCAATTTAAGCCACAATCATTATGCTCTTGTCTTCTTGCGAATATACGAATATGCTACAGCACAATGTCTATTGAGGAAAATTGCATCAAGTTCCGTTAAGAAACGCAGTAGTTATTAAACAAAACGTGCGGTTGCATAGGCAGGCCACGTAGCTGCAAGAATCTCAGCATACATGTGCACACATACATTGAAATTCAATTGTATTGCATTATGTGATGTGTGTGCGTGTGTGTGCGTGTGTGTGCGTGTGTGTGTGAGCTGCTATTTTAATTCAAACGGTGGCAGATAATCCTGTCCGTCACAGATTGTTGCGAGTTCGACTCCGTATGAGGGTGATCAATTATTTTTCTTTTAATTTATCCTTATCTCGAATTTATCCCTATCTCCTATCTCCTATCTCCAAGTTTTGACAGTCTTCAAGTATATTAACGATGTTTTGTACAATTGAGATCTTAATGTATGCCTTCGGTATCTGCCTGCACTGTCTGCGCAACATTGTTGCCAACAAAAATGTTGCTGGCAACATGCACTGTAAACTTTGTTATTGACACGAGCCACGTTTAAGATGTCCCTTACAAAATTATCCATTAACTAGAGATGGGAGGTATCTTTCAGGACACGTAGATGCTCCACTCATCCAAAAGAAGACAATGGGTAAAAAAAGTTGTATAAAGTTGACACAAACATTTTTCGTTCCTATTGCAGACGCATTTTGGTATTCAGCTAGATATAAACACATTGATAAATATCCAGTTTACATGTTTATTGTTGTTATTGAATGCTCACTGCAAATGCAACTTGCCATTGAGTTTGTCAAACCGCGACAATAATTTGCATAGGCAGCTGGGCCAAAATCTATGTAAACATTGAAATTGTAGCTGAGCGACCACTGCAGGAGTTTGTGGCGCTTAATCGAAAAGGCCAAAGCCCATGTCATCATCCTCCTCCTCGGATTCGGACTCGACCTTCTTGGCCTCCTCCTTCTTTTCGGCAGCGCCGCCAGCAGCAGCTGGTGCCGAAGTGGCAGCAGCAGCAGCAAACTTGCTGGGATCCTTGATGTACTCCTTGATGGTGGTGGCCTCCTTGAACTCAACCTCTGTGGTGGCAGCGATGGCCAACAGGTTCTTGAAGCCGTTGGCAATGCTGTGAGGTGCCGAAGCAATCGTTGGATAACCAACAGACAAACAGACGGCAGCCAGATTGGCAACGCCTTGCTGGAACTTGGCGCGCAAATCCTCGGGCTTGATGTCCAAGATCTCAGGAGAGAAGATTGAACCCGAATCATAGACCTGGCTCACGAGCAGACCATACGAGAATGGCGAAATGTTCAACATGTTCAGCAAAGTGGCCTCAGAGGCGCCCACTTTATCGCCGGGCTTCAAGATTGGCACATCGTTGATGATTTCAATTGTACCCTTGGAAATCTTGGTTGGGATGGAGAGAGCCTGGAAGAAACTAGTCTTCTCTGGACCCAGACCAGTATTCTGAGCCGGAATTATGACGGGCAAAGGTGCAATGGCGCCTGGACGTGCGGGAGCGCGCACCTTCGATTCCAACAGTTTATCGCGAACCTCAGCCAAATCGCCCTTGGTGAACACAAATCCAACATTTCCCTTGATGTGCGGCAACAGTTTTTCCAACTGCGGGTTGTTCTCCAAATGTCCGCGAATGGCTTTGCGCATCATCGTATTCTTGCCCATCAATACCACAGCGAGGCCACGCAGGCTGGTACGGATGTTCTGCATCTGCTTGGAGCCAACATTGTCGGCGCCCACAATGAAGCACTTTGGGAACTCATCGAACAGTTCCTAAATTCATTTCGTTAGTGAATTCTTAAATATCTTATTTCTTAAACAGTTAAAAATACAACATACCACAACTTTGATGAAGTACTGAGCCTTCCATGCTGCTTTGTTCTCCCTAACCATTTTGTAATTGTATTAGGGACTCGTATGAATTTAAGAACTGTAAATATGGAAACATTTTATTACCATTTGGTACAGCAAAGTTTGCTTTCTTAAAATTTCTTGTTTTTTATGCAAAAACTATTAGGATTACACATATTTTTTTAAGATTTTTACTCTTCACTTACCAAAACACAAACTATACGCGTTGATGACTCGGACGAAATGGGAGAGATGTGCGATAAGTGCAGCGAAGCTATCGATAGGGTAAGACATTGTTCTAAATAATATCGATTGGTAATTGTACAATTGACATAAGACGAATTTCCTATTACCCATGTAATTATTTAATAATTACCTGTTTTTGCTGTTGTCATTCCATATTACTTTTAAAAAATACCCATTGTTCATAATATTTACAGCCCGCGATACTAGCTATCAAGCTATCGATAGTTTCTGAAAGTGTCACCCTACAAAAAAAGGAAAATGGTAAAGCCGCACTGTTGTTCCGTGTAGTGTTGCAAAATATTCTTTTTTAAAGCAACCCTACTCTCGAACAGCTGTTGTTAGTTTTATTTATTATCGATAACTGTTTTGCGAAATTTAAGCTATGCTTATAATAATTATAAATCCAGTTGTGCAAGGTACTTAGAGCATACTTTCCCTCTTAATAAGCGGCGAAACAAAAGCAGACAAACGAAGGACCTTGAAGCGCAAACTATATTTGGCACCAGCACTTAAAATCTTATTGAATTTCACAATAAGTCATAGGATGGGCAAGAACTATTATCAGATTTTAGGCATTAACAGGACGGCAAACGATGATGAAATCAAAAAAGGTTATAAGCGAATGGCCCTGAAGTATCATCCAGATAAGAACGACCACCCACAGGCTGCGGAACGTTTCCAAGAGATTGCCGCTGCATTCGAGGTACTGTCAAATAAGGAAAAACGCCTAATATATGACCAATATGGAGAAGAAGGTCTTAAAAACGGCGTTGAGCAAACGACTTTTGCACAACCAACAGCGGACATGTTGCCGTTTATGTGTGCCGTTGGGGGGACTGTTTTGTTTGCCTTCGCTGCGTTCAAGACATTCCAATACTTCACCAAAAAAAAGGATCCAGAACACGAAAGTGACTCATCTTCGGAATGAGAAGCTTAATATTTTCGAATTTACGCGCTTGTATCTCTCGCATGTTATAAAATTGTTAAATTGTATTGTGTACATTTTTTTCTTGCATTACGCCAAAGCGAATAGTCCGCAGAATGACTAACTATTTTTGAATTTAGATGTTTGCACGTCTTTATTAATAAATTGTTTGAACTGTATTTCGTTGTTTGGTGTAAATTTACCTCTTGTTTTTAAACACATAACAGCCTAATGACTCAGCTGCATTTCTATCGATAGGCAACTTATAACAGCTTATCAGTTTGCCTATCGATAAATATGTGACCATGTGTTGCAAAAAACATCGATTTAGGCAACCATCGTGGTATTGTTTTTACATTATTTATTTATGTTAAAAAGTTAGAGCACATCAACATCAAAATAGTCTCAGGACTTGGTAAACATTGGTAAACATGGATCATTCCGAACGAATGACGCATATTGCCAAAAATCTCAAAGCATTGATGTAATCGATAGCCCTATCGATGTTTCTAGCATAGATAAATAATGGTACATCCCCTGAATTTCTTCTATACTGCTGTAAGGCTCGCATATATGGTTAATAAGAATAATCGACATCTTGCTGATGCAGGCCCATTCGAAGTTTATGCAACAATCGTGTATAGCTGTATATTGTTCTTCTAAAAACTAAAGATAATATAATACCTGATTTTAACTGTAAGAACTATTGATACTGCAACTTTCTTAACGTGTTTATTTTCGATATGTGCGAAGTTAACATTTATCGGTAATTATTTAGTTAAGTTATCGGAAACAAGAATCGACGGGAACAGCTTAGAAATTACCTAAATACTTGCTTTACTGACAAAACGCTTAAATATCTAACTGATAAGCAGTCATCACAACAGATATTAACATAACAGACAAATAACACGAGCGACAAATGTTAACATAACAGACAAATAACACGATCGACAATGTTAACATAACAGACAAACAACACGATCGACAAATGTTAACATCACAAACCAATACGACGCGACATTGCCGTATATCGTTAAAAGTAAGTCACACTAAAAGCAACTTGGCCGCCGGTCAAAAATATGCAAAATATTAACACCATAAGTTCGTCAGAAACATAACAATTATAATGAGCAAACAATTTGAAGATCACTATGGGACCCTTGGAATCGATCAAAAGGCAACAAATGGACAAATCAGAACTGCCTTTATTAGCCTTATGAGGATATGGCATCCAGACAAGAACCCACGGCAAACAGACCGTGGACTTGAGTATTGTAAGTCGATAAATAGAGCATACAAAGTACTTTCGGATCCAGATTTGCGCAGAGACTATGATCGAATCTATAATGCCCATAATAATCAAAAGAAAAGCCAAGGAGGCCAGTCACAAGGTCAAGGGAAAAACAGCAGCCACCATCAACAGGAGAATGCGAAATCTAGTAATGATAGTGGATATAAACAGAACAATAAATATCATAGGAATACCGGCAATAAAGAAGATAAAACATACAATCAAAGCAAGACCAACTCAAACGGACCTCATCAACACAGCCATCAAGATCGAAACAACTACGAAAATCAAAGAGGCTACCAAAATCAAAATAATGGATACAGTAGTTGGCATGAGCAGCGGAACAACCATGATTGGAGTAACCACAATGCCCAATATGAAAACTTTGAAAGAAATCGAAGCGGCGCAGACAACACCAACTTATATGATATACTCGGCTTAAGAAAGAATGCTCAAAAGCAGGATATCGAAAGTGCATTTCGCAAATTGGCATTAAAATACGGGGATAGTGAAAACCCTGCGATCAAGCGACAATTCCAAAAAATTCTTGGGGCATATTTAGTTTTAAGTGATCCAGTCTTGCGTGCCAACTATGATAGGGAGAACAATAACAATAACAACAACAACAACAACAACAACAACAACAACAACAATAACAATAATTGTGAAAGGAGAAGTAACTATGGAACATTTACATTTTTTAGCGACGAGCATTTTGATGATTGGTGGTCTATATTTTGGGAAAACCCAGATATTTGGAAAGCTATCTGTCTTTTATGCTTAGGTGGCGGATACATATTGATCATTGTTTGCAAATGGACGGCCATTATACTGTATCATGCAGCAAAGTTAATCATTAAAACTTTGCCACCTCTGCTCTTTATACTAAGGAAACTTATTTGCATTATTGTTCCCCCATTGTTCAAGGGGTCAATATTTTTGCTTAGAGGCTTAGCAAAATGTATTGGCTGGAGTTTCAAAATGTTATTGAGGTGTGTGATTGGATAAAGTTAAAAAAAAAAAAAAAAGACATTTTATAAAAGATCGTCCAATTTGTAAGTCCAAAATAACAAATTTTAACTTTAAGTTTAAAGAATATAAATTGTTGTATTGTCCCATTATAAACAAATAAAAAAGATGTTACCTTTTATAAAAATAAAACCTTAAAGAATACGAATAGAAAATTGTTATATTTTAAGAATAGCAATATGACGTGCACTTCTGCCTGTATTTTTTCAGAAGTTATTTTTATTTCAAGAGAAATTTCACAAATGTTGCTCACCTAATGCTAAATGAGGGGAATGATTTGAATGATTTAGTTGCCAATCTTTTCAATATCATCCGCATTATCGGTGTTCAAATAAGTAATATCCTTTTGAAAGTGCTTCTCGATAGTGCGACACACTGCCATGCTTTTCTCACCGTCAATCAGATTTATAGCGATTCCGGACTTTCCAAATCGACCAGTCCGACCAATACGATGTAAATATGTTTCACAATCAGCATTGCCGCGCAGATCAACAGGCAGATCGAAATTAACAACAATTGTAACTTGTTCGATGTCAATGCCGCGCGACAGGACATTCGTGGTGATGAGAACCTTCTCCTGTCCGGACCTAAAACGATCCAGAACAGCGAGTCTCTGCTCAACGGTCAGGTCGCCAGAAAGAACGGCTACAGAATGGCCATCGGCAATCATTTTAGCTGCCAGCCATGCAGCTGTTTTGCGTGTATGACAAAATATTATAGCCTGGCCGATGCTAATGCAACCATAGATATTCTGGATTGCATTGTATTTGCCATCTTCGTTTTTGCAATTAACATAATATTGTTTTATGTTATCGAGAGATTCCTCCTCACGCATCAATCGAATTATGGTTGGCTCAGAGACAATCAGGCGAGCAAAGTCCATAACCTCCTTGTCATATGTTGCCGAGAAAAATAGCATTTGACACTGTGAACTGAGCATTTTATGAATTCGGATGCATTGATCGTGATGTCCTTGCGTTGCAATCATAACGTCGGCTTCATCCAATACAAAAACCCGAACTTTTTTCATATCGAACAGACGCATTTTCAGACCCCAATCCAACATTTTACCAGGCGTTCCAATTAAAATGTGTTCTGTAATCTTTGAGTTTCGGTCAACTGAAAGTAAACTTTATTTAGTATCAATATGCACAAAATCTAATGTTGCCTTACCTTCTTCACCGCGAACAGCAAATCTCAGCTTTATATCCGGACAAAATTGACCCATGCGCGCGGCCACTTCCCCAGTTTGAATCGCGAGCTCATAAGTGGGCGACAGGCACAAAACCTGAGGATGGTCCAAGGCGACGTTAACGCGACTGAGCATTGCCAACACAAATGCTGCGGTTTTTCCGGTGCCAGATTGGCTTTGTGCTATCATATTTTGCGGCGGATCTGCAAGGAGTGTTGGCAATGCAGTTTCTTGAATTTTCGATGGCGTATTGAAGCCCATGGCGTAAATGCCCTTCAGTAGTTCCGGTTTTAGATGTAGTGCCTCGAACGTTTTAACTGAATGCAATGGCGAGTTCGGATTTTTTTGTTGAATGTCCAAAGACTGGTTGGTGTTAACCAAACCCTTTCCCAATATCTTAATAAGAAGACTGGTTTCCGCTGGGTCCGCGACATCCGGTTCATTGTCCTTGCTGGCTGCTGTTGTCGCCGCCGGTTCATCTGCATTTAGGTTAATTTTCAATTTCGGTACCTCTTGGTCTTCAGCAATTTTAACCCAGTCGGTCATTTTTGATTCTTTTAATAATTGCCCTTTTTGTAGTCAAAATGTTATTGCACAAATATGTGGATAGAGACAGTCAATGCCTGATGCAGCTGTTTTCAATAAATGCGTGCAAAAAAAGTTATCGATAGTAAATTAAGGGCTTCGCTTGGTATGCTGTTCATGCAAAAGCAAATAACGTAATAAAAAATCTGTAAGCTCTTAAGACTTAAGCGGAATATATAAGAGTTGTACTTTCGATAAGTGCATTGAACTTCCATGTAAACCGCACTTGCGTGTTCTTGCGCTATTCATAATCAGCATATTAGTACGAGCTGATACAATTAGTGCTGCAAATGTTTTAAAAATTAATATACCGACATATCGATACTACTATCGGACATGTCGTTGTTCTGTCGACATATCGATACTACAATCGGACATGTCGTTGTTCTGTAATGTACATTGTACAATGTTTTTGGAAAACTTTACTGCTTTATTTTATTCGCTCAAAATTAGCTATAAAATTAAAGCATTCTCAAGATAGTTAATGCGAAATCCGAAGCCTGCTATAGCTACAAATCGAAAATTGGTGAACATTTCACATCTAGAGGCACTAAGGTGAGGTTTCGTATTTGGTTTCAACATTTGTGAGGATCCTCCACTGGCGTTGTAGCTGCGAACGTTGCTAAACAAGATAACTGCGCAGTTATATATATGTATTCTGCACATGTATGCAAGTCCTTCAATTTTGATGCCAAGGCAAAACTCTACGCTGGGAACCGAAAGAAACTGCGAACACAGCAAAAATGTCTTCGGCGGGAAATGCTGCTGAGCAAGCAGAAAATATGACGCGCTGGTTTAACGAGAAACTGTCCATAAGAGAAGAGAGCAACAACAACAACAGCAACAATTGTAACGCAAACAAATACATTGCGCCAGCAGCAGCGGCCATGCCAAAGATGTGTCCCAGCAGCACAAACAACAACCAAACCAAGGAATATAATGAAATATGTAAAAAGGCTCAAGCTGGCCACAAGATTATGATAATTATGCGCGGTCCGCCGGGCAGCGGCAAGTCCACAATGGCCAAAACACTGCTACAACAAATTCATTTGCTGGAACAGCATTCGATTACGGATTTTGTGCACAGCAGCGACGATTACTTTCTCACGACGCGTGGATACCAATTTAATCCGAATCTGTTGCCAGAAGCTCACGACTGGAATAAACAACGGGTAAAGCGCAAAGCCGCCGCTGGCTGGAGTCCCATCATTGTGGACAACACGAATATAATGGTATGGGAGATGCAGCCCTATGTACAGATTGCCGTGCAGCATGGTTACCTTTTGGAGCTGCTTGAGCCCCAAACGAGCTGGCGCAATTCAGCCACAGAGCTGGCCAAACGGAATGTCCATCAGGTGCCAAAGGACAATATAAAGCGCATGCTGGATCGCTACGAGAAGACCAGCGTTGCCGAGCTAATTGGGGTAAAAATCAATTATTTACACACTTGCAATATCCAATTATAATTTATTTTCTGTTAAACAGTTGCTTAAAGAAACAAAGTACACGGTGTCCTTGCCGCAGCTGCGTTCAAAGCCGCCTTTGCCAGCGTTGCCGGCACCTGCCACACCTGCGCTGCAATCGGACAGCTCCAGTGCGCTGTCAAATTCCCAATCGGATGGATTTAAGCTGAATGTGAATGCTCAAACGTGGATGCCGTATGAGCAAAATGTGAACAGCTACTGGGCGCAGACGAACGACCAGCCGATGCCAGCAACAGTTGCCAGCGTTGCGGCAACAGGTGAAAGTTCGTTGTTAGATTTGTTGCGAGATGAGCAACCAACCGAAACGACAAATCCAACTGGTGCCACGTCATCATCAACAGATACCAGCAACAAGGCCTTGCAGCGTCACAGCTTAAACTGCCCGAACGAGGCGGCTGGCTTTGTGGCACTCCGTCAAATATATCCGAACAAGCAGTTGGTAGGCCTCTGGGATTTGTATGTGAAGTGCAACGGTGATGTGGATTGGGCAGTCGATATATTAATCAAAGAGGATGAGCTCACAGCAGACGCCGCCGACTATGCTGAGGAAGCGTTGCTCCTGGAAAGCGAAGAATTTCGATGCGATTGCAGCAATAGCAGCAACAAGTTGCAATTGCAAACATCAGCTGTGCCGGCTGCTCCACCCACACCAGTTGTTCACAAAAGCCAAGCTAAGCCACAGCGTCAGCCGCGTACTAGACGCAACGCTGGCCTTGGTTACGCGAACCGGGAACTGCAGCTACAGATTGAGAACAGTTTTGTTTTGGGCGATGACCAGTACTCGGAGCATACGCGCAAAATACGCGACATACGCAATGGTTGTTTAGATCAACCGCTGCCCCCAGTTGAGCCGGCACCAATGGCTGCTACTGACGAGGACGATGATGATTCGGAGGATAATGCACTACTCGAAATGGATCTGGGTGAAAATTTTATTGAACAACTCCGCAGCAACTTTCAGTGGGAGGGTGAATTGCTGCCCGTAGATCCAGAGGCGTTGCCCACAAAAGTGTTTGTGCCGTACAGTCTGGCCAAGCAATTGTACATGCTTTGGATGGAAGCGGTGCACAATCAAGTTGAAGAACAGCGTCAGCAAACGCTGCGCGATGATGAGCAATTCGCACGCCTGCTCAAGCATCCCAAATACGCTGAGTGCAGCGAATCGCCCGGCAACGTAAACGAGCTGCTCGATATGGAGCTGGCCTGGAGCATCTACAACAGTGAACAACAGGCGGCCAAGCAGGCAACCCAATACAAGCCCAATGATATTGCTACGCATTTGACTAAAATGAAGCTGTGCGAGAAATTTCCCGAAATTCCCAGCGATACCGTGCTGCAGGTCTTTGAAGCTACTGACAACAATTATGTGAAGACCGTTGAGGTGCTGGACAGCAATGTGCAGAGCGATTTAACCAGCGCCGAGCTTTACGAACAGGCGCAGCGCGAAAACGAAAAGGTAAGTGGTGCTTAACTCGTTATAGTAATTCGATATTTGATCATAATTTCTCATCAATATACATCTTCATAACAGCTTAATCAACAAGAGCAACAGCAACAGCCTCCACCTAAGGCGCCCAGTCCACGTTCCGTAGGAAACGTCAAGTTGCAATCGCCACAATTGCACGAGGAGGCGAAATGTGCAGCATTGCGAGACTTTGAGGAGACACGTAATCTGGCCGCCCATCATGCCCAATTGAGAGCCGAGTGCAATTTGAAAGCCAAGCAGGCGATACAGCAGGGCAATGGTAGCGTGGCGCTGTACTATTCGGAGATTGCGCAGCTGCATAAGAAAAAGATCGATGTATTTAATCATCGTGCGGCCAACTGCATCATGGAAGTACACAAGCACACGCAAAACAATCCGGATTTGCTAGATCTACACTATTTGCATACCATAGAGGCGGTTAGCAGTCTCGACTTGTTCCTGGATCGCCACATAAGTGTGCTGCGCAATAGCACGCGAGTGTATAAGCATGTTTTTATCATTACGGGTCGGGGACTACATAGCGCAAATGGTGTTTCGACCATCAAGAAAAATGTAAAGGCTCGTCTACAGGAGCGACGTTTGCGGTAAGTGTCTTTGCTTTTACAGAATTATTATGAAATACATAACTCTTAATAATTTATCAGCTGGCAAGAGGTTAATCCGGGTCTGCTTCGTGTCAAAGTTTTTTCAGCGTCGCGTCACTCCAAAAACTTTTGACTATTTGCATTGAGCGTCAATATATGAAGCTGTATAACTTTCAGCAACATTGGATACACTATTCATTTAAAGCCATCATATTTAGCGCTACCTCATTTTAATATTTTTTGTATAAGATTTCTTACAAAATTAACAGTCTATCGATATTTACATTCGTATTATTTTGTGTGTTCATCAAGACATTCCCCACACTTTTTAATAAGCACCTCTTATTCATTATTACAACTATTTTCTATTTGCTTTTAAGTATGTTTAACAATTAAGTTTTTCAAAATGTATTTACATATATGCGTATGTATATATTTATCTTCATTTCGTATTTCCTTTAAACATCTACATTATTATTTTACTACAAATATTGAGAAAATTTAAATTATATATTTTTTTAAATACGTTTTTGGGATTTTGAAAGACCGAATTAATGCGCCACTTGTTTAAAAGTTATCTTTGCAATTCGTATTTAATATATTTGAAATATGTGAGCTTTACTTTTAAAGTTTCTTAAATTTTTATATAATCAAAAGTCCAAGTACTTCTCTTTTTTTTTTCAAACTCAGATTTTGGGTTTTTGAAAGACAGAATTAATGCGCCCCTCTTTTAAATGTTTTTTTGCAATTAGTATCTAATATATTTCAAATACGTTAGCTTTACCTTTAAGTTTCTTAAGTTCTTATAAAATCAAAAGTCAAAGTACTTCCAACGATATTCATATCGAATATGTATAATATGCAGGAAAAACTTTATATAATTTAAGACTTTTATATATAATTAATTTAAGCCAAAAATTATCATTAAAATAGTTGCATAAGTAAACAATTGCACTTTTACTTACAAAACTCAGAAACCTTGCGTGCGTACAGGTTAAATTTGTATAACTATGATAAGTGGAAAATATTTTGATGTTCAAAACTATATTATATTGTTAGCATACACTTTAGTATGTGGCATAACATATGCTAGTCGCGTATGAGGTCGTGTCTGTCGTAGTTTAGGAAAAACATTTGTGGAAATAATCTGCCTAATGATAGCTTCCGAGGCTTAGCACCTGCTTGGATCTTAGTGCAGCCTCTTCTTGATTCCCGGACTTTACTCAGGTAACTCATGCAGCTACAACCTGAAGGATTTTATACGACTCGAACGTTTCGACTACCTAAAGCCTTGAAAATTGAATGGCCCCTCATAAAATAAAACACATCCCATTTAATGTTTAAAACATGGAAAGGCAAATGTTTTACTATTCAAACTCAGCATCAGAAATATAAATACATATAAAAATGATATTTTTAGGATACACAAAGTGTAAATTAGTGCATGCTTACACATATATCGAAATCTTAGGTGTAGAAAAATGAGGGACAGTCTAAACAAATGTGTCATATATGGCTTTGGTTCAGGCCTGGATTACCCTACATATAGCAACTAGGTAGGTTCATCTTGTAGTTGGTTGCATGGCGACTGATTTTCCTTGCCGTCCAGGTTCAGGCGATTCATGGCCACCAGTTCCATTAGGTTAGCCCGACTGCGTTTCGGCGTGAAGCGAGTGGCAGAGTTGGAATTGGAGCCGCAACCAGCGCTTTTGTTAAGCTTCTCACGCGGTGGGGTATGCAGAAATACGCCCTCAAAAATAGTTTCCAAGCTGTTCGCACGACTGATGGCACTTGTTGAATCATTTGCATTGTCGCTTGGCGCGCTGATCTGTGCATTGATCTCATGCAAGGCCACAAACTCTGGGTTGTTCTGGCGGCCAGGGCTGCGCTGCTGTGCCGACTCCTGTTTTGGCGTTTCAATATCTGACATATTTAGGTCATCAATGGGAGATGGCGTACGACCATGTGGCGAGAAGGCACGTATCTCGAAGGCGGGTAGCTCATCACAGTCCGCCGGTTCGCCCGGTTCAAAGGCCAGCGACAAGTCACTTTCGCTCTCTAGCGAGGACATCGAGCACTGGAGGATATAGGAGCTGTTTAGCTGTAGCTCAATACTGCCCATATTTATTGTATTTACCGCATCAGCATCCGATGTTGTGTCCATGTTGTACGTTGAGCGTGCTGTACTTATATGCAATGCCGAGATATCGTCAAGCATTACAAATACGCGAAAAAGGCGCTGCCTGTTGATTGCTGGCCTGTCAGCGAATTGCCTCTTTTGGGTTTCTTCGTTCGCGTTATTCGAGGGTTCTTAGCGCAGGTAGTCAATAAACTAACACGCTCTAACTTTATTGCCGCACCAGTCGGCTGGTAAACAAAATATTGTTATTTATCGAAATGCTATCGATAATTAGAAGTCCGAGTCAGTGACAGTGTGACCGTTCACTGCAAACAAAAAATACTAAAACATGTGTGGATCAACGTTTTAATTTTAACACTGTGCCAAAGAATAGTGAATATATACAAATAAGTATTTATGCTAAGGCAATGTTGGGAAAAATATATTCCTAATCAAGCACCAGACAACACCTAATAACATTTTATTTAATTCGTACTATCAGCTACATTGTAGTAGTTATTATAATTTATGATACGTATTAGGTCAACTATTTTCTCTTGATAACCGGAAGCGGCAACCTTGTTGCCCAAGTAGATCGCATAACGGATGAATTTTTCAAACTCGGCTTCTTCATATACCAATCGCTTGTAGCGCGGATGAACAAACTGTTGTTCTTCATCCAAAACAAACGGCTTTGAGTTCAAAATTCTAAAAGAAGAAGAACATAGAAAGTTAAATTAAAATTCCATTTAAATTTTAAATAGTAACCAACTTGCAAAAACGTAGCGCTATCACAAGTATATTGTCAATGGTCTCCCGAAACTTGGCGCTGCGACGATTGAGCAGCGAAAAGAAGGCGATCTCCTTTAGGTATTCCACGTGACGCTGATAAAGACCTTCAACAGAATCGACGGTGATCAGCTCATCGGTGAAAGACTTCCACGTGCCCTCCAAGGCATTTGTGACCAGATGATTCTGCAGCGTGATGACGAAATGCGACAGCTTGTGACGCACCATTTGCAGATGACGGTACTGCGATGACTGCTGCAATGGGCGACCGTGCAGCCTGGACGACTGCTGGAAGTCCAGATAGGCACGCTCCATTATGAAGCTGACGTGTCGCAGCTTTATCAAGTGTGAGAATATTTGCGCATACTTGTCCATGGTCTCCCCGCTGAATACCAGATTCAGGGGCCATTCCATTTTGCAATCAAGCTTAAATATGGACAGAGCATTGATATCCATTAGATCAAAGGCCTCCGGTATATTCGTGCAATTTAAGGCGAGATTATCGGCTACCACAGCTGCACCAGTTCCATCGGCCGCCCTGTTAATGAGCGCATTGTTGAGTATGGCGTCGAGTACACCCTTTTGGCATAAACTGTGCGGCAGAACGCCAGATTCGATTTGCTCTAGGATTCCCACAATAAGCAGTGTGCCAAATTCGCCGTCTAGCAAAAAGAAATATTTGCGTAGCTGGCAAAAATGCTCGATAACGTGTTGTTCGTGGAATATGCGCAGAACCTCGTTGCGCAGCAGCGACAGGTGAGATTTAAGTGGTATCATGACAGACAGTTGCATGTAACGTTTGATTATAAACGGATTATGTCCGATTTTTTGTATTTGTTCGGCTCCATTTGCCTGCGACGTATCCAATTGCAATGTGGGCAGGCTAAAGACAGGCTTTTCTCTTTTCAAAGCCACAGCTTCGGGCTCAGCCACAGCAGCTACAGCTGTCTGATCCGCATTATCGCGATTAGTATCACAGTTGGCACTACTATTAATACTGTTGTTATTGGCCGCATCGACCAGCTCGTTTGGAATATCGATTTCAATCTCTACATCGGATGTGGTGGACATGGGCGTTTCTGTACCCAGCGTGGATTCCACGCATAGCCTGTGCGGCTCCAATGGCAAATGCATGGCATTGCCTAAACCTCCACTGATCGTGAAGTCTCCTTCCATAACATGGCGGCGATTGCGTGCAAGTTCCGTATCCGAATGCAGTAGACGCTTCTCGGACTCACTGGCCGCATCCTCTTCACTATTCAATGAGCCGAACGTGCTGTGTTGCTGCATGCGCTGACGATTGCGCTGCAAATCTGTGAGATCCTCGAGATTCATGTTCAAATCTGGCGGCAGTTTAGTTCGCTGTTCCGTACAATTAAGAACTCGCATTCGATTTCGTTCGACTTCTGTGTAGCTGGCTGCGCTGGTCGTCGTCACGTCTTTCTGCAGCTGTACTTCCATTTGACATTCTTGAAACTGTTCGGAGGAATTATTGCGCATACGATTGCGAGTCATTTCCATATCGGTCTCATTCGAGTTCAGCACATCGGCTTGATCAGGCTGTGATGTGGCTGACTGTGGCTTAACCTTCGCCAGTTCTTCGGGATCTAATTCCTCGCAAGAAACATAGCTGCGACCACTGCTTGTGCTGTCGTCTGGGCTCGTGTCCGCGACGGTCATTTGCATCGGTGGTGTGGCCTTTTTTAAGGCAGCAATTTGCTCTTCCAAAACCTGTTTCTCCTGTTTCAAGCGCATTTCTTCCAGCTGATCGCACTTTCGCTGGTATCCTAGCTCAAATACCAGTCCCAAACGTCTCTGCTCCATACGCAACTGTTCCTGTTGCTCCCGTTGCTCATTAAGCTCTTCATAGCGCTTTTGTTTCACTGCGTTCGCCTTCAATTGCAAATCCCGCTGGCGCTGCTCCCAGGCAGCGATGTGCGACTGAGTGCAGTCCCACATGCGATTACCAAAACGTCGGCTGCTCTCTGTTTGTTCCGCTAAGATGCTTTGCATCTTAAATGGCTGGATGTTCTGCAGTATCTGTTCGTAGTGTAGCTCCAGCTCTTGGCGCATTTTCATTAACTGCTGCTCCGACAGGCATACAACCAAGTCGGGATACTTTAAATTGAAAACCGCATGCTGTAAGCCAACCACTGATTATTATGCGCCACATATATTTCAATATGTATCCATGTCTACTTACCTGAGGATTGTAAGTCTTAAGGAAACGGTTGTACTTGCCGCATTGGAGAATGGCCTGCTCGCAGCCCGCCAGAAAGCCTGGCACTATATCGGACCGTACATAATAGCCCTTGTCGAAAAATTCCTTGCTGCGCTCGTGCATCATCTTGTGCGGGCAACACTTGATGAAAAGCTCATTGAAGGGTTCCTCGAGCTCGCCCTGGTAAAGCCAACGCTGTAGCTGGGCGAAGTATGTGCCGCACAACGACCTCAACAGGTACATAAGTAATTGTGAAAATTCACAGTTGATGCCCACATTAATAGCTGACCAAACGAAGCTCAGCAGGCTCATTCCGCACATTCCGTTCATGCCTTCGGCGTTGTTCACTGAAATTGAATAGGAATCTTTAGTTAAGCGGTAGAACAAACTTGACGTAATTTCTTCTTACGACTGGGCTCAGCCTGAAACATCTGATCCATTTGCTGCAGCATCTCCATGGCGGGACCTGCGCCGCGTAGCAGTTGTGGCAAATTGTTGACAGACAGCGATAGCAAAAACAGACGGCTATTCGTAAGGAACGTAATTATGGCCTGTCGCATAGTCTTTAAAGAAAATAAGAAAGCTTGCACATTGGATTTATTAAATGCTTTGCGGTCCGGTCTTACTCGGTTCAAAGGACGTTCGATGCGATTTGGTGCGTGCTGCCATTGAGTACGGGCGCTCAGTCGCCGAAAAGCCCTGCCAGAGGCAAGAAATGGTTCCGCAAATTCAGCCAACACCTCGGGCAGCACAACGCTCAGAGTGATATGTGGTTTCAACATAAAAGTGCCATCGTCCGTGCAGACAATCGTATCAGATTGCAGACCAGCTTAGCAATGAAAGAATTAACAGGTTATAAAGTGAACAATGCTAAGGCAAATATGCCCACCTGCAGCCTGCTTTAGATGATCGATGAGGAGGGGCAGCTTAATATACATCAATTGCAATGTCTGATCCTGGTGCCATTTGAGCTCGTTGCTTACAAGCTGATCCGTGACAAAGTGCTTCTCAGATGTAATGGTCAACGTTAAGCCCTTATTAGCATCGGATTCTTTTGCTGACACTTGGCCTTTGTCCCGCAGCGGCAGGTTAATCTTAACACGCCGTGGTCCTCGCCTCGATTCATTTATACGTGACATGGAGTCCTTCAGCACTGAGCAGGCCAAAATGGGTTTCTTCTGGCTCTTTTGGGCATTGCGCATCACGTCCAGATCGCTCACCTGAAACTCTGACTGCCGGCGAAATTCGATGGGCTTTATTGAGTCTCGCATATTTTCGACCGATCTTAATAGGGGTGGGCCCTGCGGTCTACCCGGGAATTGCCAATCCCGGCAGGGGTTTGGCAGCAGTCGTAGCGGCCTGGCCAGCAAAATCTTGTTTTGCCAGGATCCACAGGATTTTGATGACTCTGGTTGTTGTTTTTGTTCCTCTTGAGCTGAGCATGTGTTGAGAAGACAGCTTGGAACCTCGTTGCCTAGTGTGGAATTTAAATTCGCGCATTGCTCGTCCAATAGCTTCTGACACTCAGGTAGCCTATCCAATCGAGGAGGCGATGGATTCGCCGAACGTGGCGACAGCAGAGATTCGTAGATTTTTGTGCGTTTATTGGCAACTGAAGCTGGCGAAGGCATCTCTGCAGCTGCAGCTGCTTGCTCCGCTTGGGCGCGCTCATCCTGCGACAGTAGCTCGGCTATTTTGGTGACTATGTTGAAAACGCTCTCGTTGGAATTATAAGCTGCTTCCATTCAAATAATTAATAATATTATTTAACAAAATTTAAAATTAAAAAATATTGCAAATACAAATAGCAGTAAATAGCGTTGAATGTTTTGGAGATGGACAATATTTACGTAGCTGTTAATCATCAAATATATCGATAACTATCATATGCGCGCTAATACGTTTATTTGATACTGGTTTTAACACTTGGTATTTTATTACAAGTACATATATATTCATGAGAGCACCCTTGCCAATTTTGTATAGGGTATGTACCAAAAGCAGTTGGCAGACAACGCCCATCCCTAGACTGCATTTGAACGAAGCAAATAATCGATTTTTGTTTGTGCTGGAATGACATTACACTGTTAGCTGTCATTAGTCCGTTTTCAAATTTAAAAGAGTAAGCGAACCCAATTGATTACAAAGTTGATTAAAAGGCAATTTTTTAAAACTTCATTCACATTGATTTTATTTTTTCATTCATTCTCTGAACAGTAAATTTAAAAATGTTGAACTGAACTGGTTACATCTTAAGTTTATTACGTTTTCAATAACTTACAACTACATACAATCAGGATATTATATTGTTAAATAGAACTTTTGAAAGGTTACGTGCTGCCATAATACATTCAATGTTCTTGAGATTGGCGCAAGCTAAGTGTAGCTACGAAAAATGTTATTAGAGCAAAGAAAAAAAATAAGAAGGAAAATGCGCAGTAATTGGGAATAAACCAAACAAAACTTGCATAGATTGTTTACAATTCGGCAAAACGAGCGCCAGCGCAACGGCTTAGTGCACACAGATCAGCCAACCTAGGAATAGACTACAATATTAGGTATAGAGCATTGGGGGCATCAGGGGAGCTTGTGGGTGTAATAGATCTCTGAAAGCTTAGCTCGTCGTTGGGAACTTGTTGCACGGCTGTATAATAGACGTCTTCCGAGCAGGCACCGTTTCGGGCGTTGGTATGGCCTCGCCGGTGGTCACCTTATTGGCGAACACCTGCTTAACACTGCCGCCCTTCTGTTTGGCCATCTGATAATCGCCAGAATCGAAAAATTTTTGCTAAAAAACAAAAAGGTTATGTAGAGTAAGTTAATCTAGACGAGCGAGCTGTCAACTTACGCCCTTTTGTAGGCGCTTCTGAAGGAAGGCGGAATGACCGCCAGGCACTCGAACACCACTCGGATATTTCGACTTGAGCTTCTCTTCTTCGATTTTCTCCAAGTCCCTGGCATTGGCTTGCTCAGCTGTTGACTCGTTCTCCTGCGGCGTGGTTGCCGGGCTGTTTTCTTCAGTGGAGCTCATGATGTTCTGCGACAAAACATTTTAAATATCAGATATAATGTTATATATCATGTACATACAATTGTAAATTGCAAATATGGCAATAATACAACCTAAACTAAGCAAGCATACGTGACAAGGACATCTGAATTTAAAAAATGAGCGAAAATGGCCCGAGAAAATTGCATTTCGTGAAACGCACACTTGCACATGTCCATACATGTATAAATATTCACATACATGTATGTACATACATATGTATTTACATAGACTTGCTAATATATAGTGCGAACGACGGCGACGCGTAATATAATCGTATTAATCTCATGTGCAAATATTGTTACGATTTAATACTTACGCAAAATACTCATGCACATATAAGCGTATGTATATGGGAATATGAAGTTTTACCTTTGTCGAGTGTGATGCGTCAAATGTGACAAGTAACTGTTGTTTTCCTTCTTTTTGCAATCAAGAACACATGTACGCCGTACGTCTTAAGCTTTTAATTGAGTTAGTAAACGATTTGGTAAGGACACACTGATGTTATGGACTATAACGCTGCTAATTATTTGTCCCAGATATGCTTTTTATGAATTAATGTATACAAATTTAAAATTTCCTTTTCTCCTTGATACAATAAGTACACTTTTTGGGAGACGCTACGAAATAAAGTTGTCGCAGATTATTCGGAATAAGTTCATTTGACATAATGAACGAAAAGTTATGCGAGTCGGAACGTACGAACTAGATTCGTGAGTCTCGTGCAATTATATCTAATGGTTTTTTAATAATATATAATTGTCAAATGCAATTTCTTTCATCGCAACTATAAAGGATTATTTCTATTTTTCTGTACTTTATTATTTAAAAGAAAACAGTCAAACAATGATCATTGTAAACATAGTGAATTGTGGGGCATGAATTATGTTAACTGAATACAGCGCTGCAGCCCTAGTCGCTGTTAATGTCAGAAAATGTTAAGGTATTTGTGGCAACTCTCTTTTGTTCAACACAATCATGGTGGCAACACTTAAGCCAGTCTTGCTACATTTTTTTCGAAGAACACACGTTTTGTTTTTTTGCGCGGAATTTTGAATACAATTAATATTAAATAATTAATTAATACTCAAAATGAGTGCGATATCGAAATAAACTGAAGAAAAAAACGATAGGCAACAGTGGAAAAAAATACGAAGCAAATAGCAGTGTTTGTGTACTGTGCTGATAGTGTGTGTGTGCGTTTGTTTGTGTGTGTCGAGTGAGTGCGTTATAAATAAAACGCCAAGAAGCTGCGTGCAAAAAGTAGACGCCAAGAAAAATAAAGAATGTGCCCAAACACCAGTGCAAGAAAAGAAACTGTTTTTATGTTGATTTTCGTTGTGTTTTTAATACATTTCTAATTATATTTTAATAAAGTAACGAAAGGCGAAAGTGCATTTTTACATGTAACGCTACTAAAGGTGAATATCGCGAGGGAAAATCATTAGCATTCTGCGACGACGAAACCAACGAATGAGGCTGTCAAAGCGTAATTGTAAAATTCCACTGTCTGGCACAGGCAACAGTCGCAGTTACAGTCGACGTCGCAGTCTGCGTTACACACATACATGCATATGCGTATATAAATGTGTTTCTATATAAAGAAAACATGAAGTTTTCTAAGGAAAATGTGTGCAAAAAATATGTATTAATAATGTGTATGTGTATTATTTTGTGCAGCTAAATTTACAAATAAACGTTTTTGTAACTTCGACCTGTAAACTTTATTTGGATTTAAGCAGAGGACACGTTCAACTTGCAACCCGCTGTGTAATGGATGCAACATCAATAATAACACAAGTTTCCCGCGATGATGAACAATTGAATGTCTATCCGAGCGACAAAGGAGGTAAGAGACAACAACTATACACATTGAGAGAGAGACTGAGCCCAATGACTCATGCGACAGTCCAAACGGCGTCACAACAAAGACGAAATAAAAATACTTAAAGGACAAGTGGTCACAAAGTTTGGACTGCCCCCCTTCTGACCTTAGAAATTGTTCAAGCTCCCACCCCAAACCAGCTCACTTGATGGCTTTTGCTTTTCTCTCGCTCGCACACAGTGTGTGTTGTGTGTGTTTGTATGCATTTTTGTGCGCAGCTGTTTTCTTGCCTATTGTGAATGATCTAACCACTTGCTAGCTTCTGACGTCGCAGTTTGCAACTCTCAAAGCGCCACCTGTAATCAACTGTGACGTCATGCTCTTGACAAGTGCACGCGAACAACAAAATCAGCGGCAGAACAAATTGCGTTACTTCAACTGCCGTTCCATGTCCTAGGGATTGTCAGGGAGAGAAAGAGAGAAAGGTAGAGAGAAAACGAGCACGCCTAACAATTGAAACCGCAATTAAATTGCATACTATTTACGAAAAAAAGATAAAAAGTGCGACAGGGAGAGGGCGAAACCGGTATCGACTAGTTTTCGTGAAAATAACAAACAAACAAAGCAACAGACGATTAACAAACCGTAGCTTACAAAAAAAGCTTGAATGAAAACTGCAGAGAGCGCGTTTTAGACTCGAGAAAGAGAGCGAAAAGTAAAAAAAAAGTTGCATACTCTTACATATTTGTGTTTGTATGTTTGCAGTCATATGTTTAAATAACTGTGTGTATATATATATTCATACGTATTACGTATACACATGTGTGTTTTTTATATATTTTTTTTTTCTTTTTTGTGCTGCAACAGCAGCAGCGCACAAAGTACAAGGTGGGGCCCTGCCGAGACGAGACGCGATGAAACTTGCGCCTTAAAGTAACAACAAAATTTAATCTAATCTGCGGTCGCAAAAACAGACGACAACTATACTTTACACAAATGTATGTACGTATACGTAGATGTATGTATATAATTGTATATATAAAATACACACATTTACGTATGTATATAATGGCAGAGCGTTTAAAACTAAGCAACACAATTTTGCGGTTTGGTGCTAATTGACATCTCTCGTTTCTTGCCTAAATAAGTTTGCTCGCTTTTGAGTCGCTTTTGACAGTGCTGCCAATACAGCTCAAACTGAAACTCAAATATTTATCTATAATGGAACACACTTCCGTGTGCATACATACGTATGCACATATGTACATATTTATGTAGCGTAGGCATTTTTTCACTCTTTGACTTGTTGAGCTTTGTGACAATAAAAGACGGCGACGTCATCAACGCCACCCTGTCTCTCTGTATCGCTACGTTTGGCGTGTGTGGGTGTGAGAAGAGGGCAGAACATTAGAACCGGCAAAAGATGAAATGTGTGTGTGTGTGTGTTTTTTTTTTATTTTCTTATTCTTTTTTTGTCAGTGTGGGTGCCGCCTAAGTGCTGTCTATTCGCCTGAACGCCTGACCGTCCGTTTTTGAATATTTATACGTGTATGTGTATATATATAATATATATTTTTTATGGGCAAACGCTCTAGTATCTCATTTCTCGATGGGATTGTCTGTGATTTTCAATTTCCCAAGGTCTTAAAATTAAATGACTTGCGCACGCACACACAAAATACCAAATGCGTATTTTGCCCTTTCCAAATAAAATCCAATTTAATTGTTATTACAAATCTATGTATGTACATATGTATGTGTATACTAATTTGTCAAGGCAAAGGTGTTAATAAAACAGACAAAAAAGTTAACAAAACGTATATAATTTGTTTAATATTTGATTTAAAAAGAAATTCGAAATGAAATAATTAAATTATTTGCAAATTCTTATAATATAGTTTATTTTTATGCATCAAAGCGTTTTGCCGACTTTTGCATTCTTATTTTTTATTTCTCAATAAAATGTGAAAAGTATGAGTTAATCTCATGTTTTTGTCATTTCGTTGACATATCAGGATAAAAGGCTAAAATCATGGTCCATGCGCTCAAAAGAGGTCACACTGCATACGAACATATCCATTTGTCGCCTTTGCTCTCTTGAGTGTGAGAGATGAGAGAAAGAATAAAATTTAATTGAATTTAACGTTAGCGATGGGTAACACTGTTTGAAATAACTGTTTTCGGCTAGAGAGTTAGCGCGAACAGCTGTTTATTTAAACAAGAAAATAAACTGCATTCAGAGTGGAAGTTTTATGCAGAAAGATAAACAAAACATATTTAAAGAAAAAAGCTGTACAACTTATTTAATTAAAACAATATTTCTATTGAATGCCAACTGCATAAGAACAAATTACAAAATCTCTTTCAACGCTTGAGATTTTCATTTTATTTATTGACGTTATTTTGTTTTGGCTTTGAAATGCCTACCGTAAAAACTTATATATGTATTGGTAGAAGCGGCGAGATGCATAATTATTAAAAAGAAATACATATATGTGTATATACAAACATTTCCACATAGGTTCATGCGAAAAATAAACTACATAAATGCGTACCGCGTGCTGTGCAAAAATTTTGATGGTCTCGATAGCAAAACATTTCCTATATCTTTCTACATATTGATATATGTATGTATACAGCTGAAAAGGCAATAATTAATTTATTTTTGGTGCTTTCTTAGATCCATTCAACAGCTATTGCACCTGCCTGTATACCATCCACCTGCAAAGGGGGAGGCTTTGACGTTCAATGACCTTTGCATGGGGTTTTGTATATTCCAACCCCCAAAGCGACATCTTTGTGCAAATGCAACAAAGGGGTCGGCAGCTTTAGCTCTCCGCATGGCCCCCTGGGAGAGCTGCTCTTTCATTTGTGGCAGGTGTTTGCCGAGCTTGTGCAAACATCACGTGCAAAGTTGAGCAGACAGAAAAGAAAAATGAAAAAAATGTTTACAGGTCGCTTGCCAACACATTTTTTAGACAATCGTATGTCTATCTCTGTGTGTGTGTGTGTGAACTTTTCAAAAGCTTCATAAATATGCTGAAGGTCGAGCTGGTGCCCATTTAAGGCCAGCGCGCAAAAGAATTGGGTATGATATCATATGTATGCCCAGAAGATAACAAACATTGTGAACGCGATTAGATAAGGCAGCGAAATGTTTAAAGTTGGGCCGTTCTCTTGCCATTATTCGACTTGAATTTTATTCGTTTTCCTTTTGTTTGCCTTCAATTAATTATCAAAATACACAATCGCACACAAATGTGCATATCTACCAAGTATATGCATGTATGCTGGCAAGCGAAGAATATAAATTAAAAATATAATATTGAAAAAAAAAAAATAATAATAATAATGATGAAAACAAAAGAAAAGCTTGTCATTTTCATTGCCATTCCGCGTCGCCAAACTCAAAATGCGAAAGTGTATTTCCAATTGACGCGTAAGGCCGTTTAACAGTCTGCTGCGGATTTCGCATTTGCATAAATGATCCGTTAATACCCTGTACCCGGCAGGGTATAATGGATGTGTGTTTGTGGCCAGGCAGCAGGATGCATCGCAGGACAAGCCTCTAAAACATACCATTTGGTATTTAGAATATATTTATGAATATTTAACTTTCGTTTAAATCAACTGACAATACAGAGTAACTCCTAGTCGGGCGCTCTCTTTGGGCATTATTGTGCTCATTTTGTTACATAAATCTTCTATTTAATTGTGTGCACGATTTTGCAATAGGTTACAGATGCAGACAGCTGCCGTTTTGTGTTAGGTATATATGTACATATATATATAAACAAATACATTGAACATACATCAAGTAGAACTGGTTAAAGAAAAATTCAAATACTTGAACTGGAAACATGCTTAATGAACCTTTAATTCAGTATTTAATTATATCAAATCGTTCTGTCTCTTGATTATTTAAAAGAAATTGTGCGAAATTTGTTTACAGACTGTAAAATCGTTTTCTATAAATGTTCAATTCAATTCAAATGTTGAATAATTGATTTAAATTAATATGAAAGAGTATCTAGATTATGTTAAGAGAGAAAAAGAGCGTTAAAAATAGGAGAAAAGGGAGTGAGAAACAAATTGTGGGAGACAAAAAGACAAAAGAAAAGGAAAAACATTTCACTAGCTTACATCAAATATCAAATGATGAGATTTGGAGAAGAGCGTTCCACTAGTCAAAAGAAAAGCGGAAGTGTTAAAACCAAATCGAAAAAACTGATTCCAAAACAAAGTAGTTAAAAGATATGCAATATAAATTGCATCTGTGAATGCTGCAAAAGAATCCACAAACCAAATTTGGCATTTCTAGCATTAATAGTCTCTGAAAAAGATAGAATTTCTTGGCCAGATTGGGAAAATTGACAAAATTGACTTGACTGTGGATACTGATTAAAGATTTATGATGCAGAGCCCCATTTCTGCGTGTTACAACACCTTGCCCACTTTACAGGGTATATGGAATGTACATTTAGAGTAGAACTTTATCTATTAAATTAATGCAATTTTCCAACTTGACAGGGTATACATTTATATGGAATGCCAATGAAAAACTTTTTATATATAATTTGTGTACTTTTCCAACTTTGCAGGGTATACAATTATATAGAATTTCAATGAAATGCTTTATATAATTAATTTGCACATTAAGCAGCTTTACAGGGTATACATTTAACTTGAATGTAAATGAAGAATTTTGCATATTTAATTTATGTACATTTCCAACTTTACAGGGTATACTTATATATATATACATTGCATGTAAATGAAGAACATAATATGTTTATTTTTTGTATTTTTTAAGATCTAAACTTATAATATATATAAATAATGCTTAGGACTTCAAAATGTGGCACTTATCGAAAACAAAAAAAAACAAAAAACAAAAAAACGGCAAAAGCACGAAATTCGTGATTGTGGTATTTCATATTTGATGTACCTGCCCACGGATTGCGTTATTTGCGATTATTACGGTCAACTGGCTGCCAAATTTGGTGTCTATTTAAATATGATGGACAAATTGTGCTCACAAAATGGAGCTATAAATGTGGCAAAAAAAGAAAAGAGAAGAAAATAGCAAAAATAAAAACGCTCAGGCACAGAGGCAGCAAGTCAATAATTCAATTTAAAGCCTTAAAAATAGGACAAAAGCCTATTTGAAGGGAGGGACGCATAGGAGATAGAGAGGGATGGAGGGAGGGAGGCTGCGCTTGAGTGCGCGCACCGCCTACCCCGCTCGGCGGGCGTGCGCATCTGTTAAGAGCAGAGCCCACAAACCTAAATATAGATATGGCATATTCTTGGCTACATATATATATAGTGTGTGTGTTTGTGTGTGTGCATGTCGGCGGCCTATCAATATATTTATAAGGACCAAATGCTGTCGCTGTCAGTTCAACAAGTAGGCGACAAATTGACAACGATTCGCAGTGACTTATGCAAAGTTATGTAAAATGTTATGCATTTGAAGTGCGGTCTAGAGATGGGCGCGTGACACGACCTAGCCGGCCCACTGACACGAAAAAGGCCTAAGCTTTTGCCGTTTCCTTTAATTCATACTAAAGTTAGACATAGAAGTGACAAAGTTATTGCCCTGATATATAACGTAGCTATACATTTTACGGGCTTTATCGTGGCTTTATTCTTCGTGCTCGTGAGAGGCCACGGGAGCACGTGCCCAGCTCTAATGTGGACCTACTTTAAGCCTCAAAAGGGCGGGTCGTTTCACCTTTCACCTGGCTAATAATCAATGTGTGAGTGCGTGCTTCCATCACGCTTTCAACTCGTTATTGTTGTTCTTGTTGTCGTTGTCGTCTGGGCTTACATTGCTTTCATGCTTGTTGCGAAGACGTCGCCGCTCATCAAATATTCAAGTGGAGCTGCACTTCAGAATGTCGCCTAGCCCGAGGGCTGCTGGGCGGACGCTGTTAGCGGTGCTTGCTGCAAGCTCAGTTTACGCCAGCTAACGGTTCATTGAACCATGCTAATGTCTGGCTTAGCTGCTGCAATCCTGCTTGGCCAACAATTCGCAACGTGCAACATGCAACATGCAACATGCACTTCATTCATGTTTTGCCCAAGTCAAGTGCTATTGCAAGCTTATTTCCTTTGTTCCCCACAACAGCAACAACAAAGGCCACAAGAAGGAGCTGTAGTTGTTGGTTGGCTTAACGCTCTCTCTTTGGGGCCGCACCTGAGGCGCCGACCAGCGAGCAGCAGGGCTTAAAGGTCATCCGGCGACCTTCCTACCTGTGCGTGTCTCTTGCACCTGTCTGTGTGTGTATGCAATTATAGCATTTACCATCGATTAAACGCATGCATGTATGCTAAATTTGCGACAACACGGCCCCCCCAAATACCCCCCTAGCGTGTTTGCTGTTGTGGGTTTTTCCTTTTCATATTTCATTTCATTTGAGTCTTCTATTTTGAGAAATATTTAAATACAAAAAAAAAGCCACATATAAAAAGCGATTTACATGTATATTTCCATATTTATATATGTCATTATCTTCGTATATATATGTATATATTTGTTAATGCTTTTATGGCCACAATAATTGGACGATCCAGACGTTAAATTCAACATTTAGTTATTTTAAGGACGCATTTGGTTAGTGGGCGGAAATGGTGAAATGCAAATGACAATAAATGAAACCAAAATGTGGCATTTATTTATGACACATTCGCTATAAAAACATTTCTTATAAAAGTAAAAGTTTACCATTAGAAACGTAGAATCTTTTACGAAACATCTAAATACTTAACATTCTGAAGTTAACATTAAGAACATTCTCTTAGTAAGATGTAAGCATTGCTTAAACTAATGAGAATCAGATAGGGAGGCGATCCATATAAAACTGCTGAGAAGCGAAAAGGAGGAACTTAGAAAGTAAAACAGTATATGGGAAATAAAAAGACTAGAAGAGACAGAGAGAAACAGATTTCTAACTAACAGAAGAATCAAATCATGAGATTCAAAGCCTGGTCTTAAAAGGAAGTAAGACGTTTTAGGCCCATGTCGATCTGAGAATCGGATAGAAAGGCGATCCATATCACACAGCTGAGACGAAAAAGTGAGGAACTGAGAGAGTAAATGAGGAGAGAGATGAGGACTTAAATATCAAATGCTGGAATTCAAGGCCTGGTTATATATATATATATATATATATATATATATATATATATATATATATCAATACAATACGCAAACTTTAAAAGTTTTTAAAAAGGGAATCTGGTACAAATATGATTATACAATATGCAATGCTTGAACAATAGTTTATTGTCCAGGAATCATATTTCATCTTCCAGCCGAGCATTCGCGACTTGTGAATTCCTTTCTTATATATTCATACATATATAAAATATCACATTTTTATATTCAATTGAAATAATCAATGTACATGCCATAAACATCAATTCATTCAAAAGTTTGTTTACTTTAATCTCGTGTGGTCAACGTTTAACCGCAAGTGTGGGCATTCTCTTTATAAGCCGTAGGGCTTGGAATTCCGATTTGTCAGCGTTATACGACTTTCAGCTTCGGATAAATAAATAAGAGATTCATGTATTTTTCATGTTTAGTTAGGGATTAGTTTAGGTATTATTTTGGCTTAACTGAGTTCTGGTCAATTTTGTATTCCTCTACCACAACTGACAAACGTAGTTCTCTAATCTAGATTCTTAATGTAGATATATATATATATATATATATATACATATTTATCTTAATAAAAGATTTCATTTCTTTTAGAAGATGTGGATCGTTTAAAGCCACAAAAACGGGGAATTCTACAATCGTTACTTTGCTGCTGGCGTCGAAATCGAACGAAAACAAATCAGAATGGCACACAGATCGATGGTTCAACAACACCGCCACCCTTACCGGACCAACAAAGGTACCTACTACCTCAGGTTAGGCACTCCGATATGCATAGAAAGTGCATGGTCATCGATTTGGACGAAACTCTAGTGCACAGTAGTTTTAAGGTATGCAGACAGATCGAAATATTATCGCAACTACTTTAAATTATAACTCATATATATCTTTACCTTTAAAGCCTATACCTAATGCCGATTTCATAGTGCCTGTAGAAATCGATGGCACCATTCATCAGGTTTATGTACTAAAGCGACCGCATGTCGACGAGTTTCTACAAAAGATGGGTGAACTTTACGAGTGCGTTCTGTTTACAGCATCACTAGCCAAATACGCAGATCCCGTTGCGGATCTGCTAGACAAGTAAGTAATATCATATATAAATAAGATTCAAATATAAGCAGAAGGTACATATATATATTCCTTGATAACTAATAACTTACCTTAATTAATATCATTCTACACTTGCAGATGGAATGTGTTTCGTGCAAGACTCTTTAGGGAATCGTGCGTTTATTACAGGGGTAATTACATAAAGGATCTAAATCGTTTGGGAAGGGATTTACAAAAGATTGTCATTGTTGATAATTCACCGGCCAGTTATATATTTCATCCCGATAATGCAGTAAGTAATGCAGAGTATACAATATAGAAATCAGCACTAAATATTTTATATTTTCTTTAATTGCATTTGGCAGGTTCCTGTCAAGTCCTGGTTCGACGATGTCACCGACTGTGAACTGCGCGAGCTGATACCGCTCTTTGAGAAGCTAAGCAAAGTTGATTCCGTCTATTCGGTGCTCTGCAATTCGAACCAGCCGCTGAACAATCAAACGCACGAGCTGCAGCAGTCGCCGCAGCAGCACCAGCAACAGCAGCAACAGCAACAGACCATCTCTGCCACAACAGTTATTACACAGGCGAGCACGCTGTCTGCACCGACCATGCTGAATGCTGCACAACAGCAGCCGCAGCAGCAGCAGCAACAACTGCAGCTGTCCAGTCCGCCCAGCCCACAGAGCGAGCTGCTGCAGAAGACGTAACATCAGTGGGAATTAATGTTTATAAATATATGATAAAATTTATACATATTATGAGACCAAGCAAAAGCAAACAAGCAAAGCCTGCAAAACAATACATAACCATGCGCCGACACACACACACACACACACATACACGCCAACTACAATAACAATAAAAACATTGCTACACTTATATAAGAAATGCAAACAATCCTCTTTATGGCATTGCTATGTAACCCTTCCTAGTATAAGCTCAAGTTTTTATTTTTTAATACTATTTACAAACCACATTTGTTATTTATTTTATTTTATTTTTTTGGCTCTTTGCTTTGTTATTTGTTTTTTACATATGTGCGTGCGTGTGTAATTTTTATAAACGAAAGCAAAGATACGCCACGCTTACCCATTGTACTGGGTATTGTGCCCACTTCTAATATTTAAAAACAAAAAAGCAAACATACATAAATACCTATGTATAACTAATAATCATTGAACTTTTATATACACCATATATATATATACATATTTTAAGTGCGTATATTTAACAACAAATAAGAGCAAGGAAAAAACTAAGCAAGCTAAAAGATATAAAACAGCTAACAAAAAGAAAAACAAAAACAAACAAAAAAAAAAAATGAGAAAATAAAAAGAATAACTATACATATGGGCAGAGAGATAAAATCAAATTCAAAATAGCATATATTTATATATATTTTTTATTAAAGCGAAAAACAAAAAAAAAACACATACTTAAAGAAAAAGAAAACAATTTACGTGTACTACAAAAATTTATATATACATCTTATATATAATAATTATATATATATATATATAGATTAGGCGTATGTATACACCACTTTGCTTAAGCTAAGGCATGTATAAATATTTCGTAAATTTATTACCACGTTTATGCGCTTGTTTCCTATTCGTGATTTTCCGTTAAAAGTCCAAAAATCGTAAGAAACATTTTCTGCCGCATGGCTAATCACGCATACGAAGCTTGGCATAAACGTAGTTTAATTTATATCATGCCCAACAAGGGCAAACACATACACACACATATGCTACAATTATTTCAATTTGTTTAGCATCAATTTATAAACTAAATACCAATTGAATCGTATGCCACTTGTTGGGCATCCAAAGTCTGCGGCATGAACGCAGTTAGCTGCTTAAAGGGCAAAAAAAAGGGGGCTGCGTTTATACGTTTCTCAATATCATGTATTCTCGAATTCGCAATAGCTTAAAAGCACAATTAACGGTTTCTCACATAAAAGCAAATATGCACAAAAAACATATCCATCAACTTGAAATACAAAATACAGACCGTGTTAGGGTATCAAATCAAATTTGTGAGCTTAAGTTCCTTGAATCATGCAGAACACAAAAATCAATCAATTGAGATTCTTGATGTTGGGTTGCGTGTAAACGCAGCTTCTTTTCTTTTTAGCGGGCTTTTTAGCTTTATATATCTAAAAGGCAAATCATATACACTTAAACATTTATATTTAATTTGCTTTTCCTTTAACAAGTGCGCTTATGAAACGCATTGCAATATTTCATCTTCTATATGTCTATCTCTTTAAACCCTTCTACCCAATGCTAACGTGCGGACATGTTTCGTGTTTTCTGTGCAGGCAGTTCAATACCATTCTAACACCGACCAAGTAAATAATAGAATACAACTAACGGCATATATATGTATATTCTCGTAAGAAACACTTATATTGAGCTCAAGCTGGCCACGCCGCAACCCACCTAAATATAATATATATATGTATGTATATATATTTATATATGCACAAGTATATAAATACTTATATGTATGTATATTGATGCGACTAACGTTAACAAAAGAAGAAGAAAAGACGCTAACGCTACCCACAACGTGAACACCGACCAGTGCCGTCACGGCTTTCCGATCGTACGACAGTTCAGTCATGTTTCTACACACTCTAATTCTCAACTAGTTTTTGCAAACATTTCTAGTGCATAGGCTTTTATATACTTTAACTGAATAACAATACAAAATTCTGCACGTTGTAAACGCGCAATATTCTCATCATATAATTTGCATGGAAGCAAGAAAATTTACCATAGGGCATACTTAAACAAAAAAAAGGCAACAAAAAATGGATATTTCATAATATTGTATATCATTTACACCTGCTGCTAAAATTGTAATAAACGTTAGCAACTAATAAAAAGCAAAATTTAAGTATAAAATGCGATAATGATAATGTATTTTAATAATACATATATTTAACTGTTTTACATTAAATAACAAAAAAAAATAATAATAAAAAAGTATAAAACAAAAACCGAGCAAAACTTAATTTATCATAAAGTTAAAAATTCTATTTTTAAAACGAGCCTATAAATGTAACGCATAAATGTCGGAAAAAAAAACAAAACAAAACCATTTAAATCTACAAAATATTATGTCAACAAAAAATAAAACAAAACAAACAAACAAAAAATTCAAACCCAAATAAATTTGATTTTTACTAAACTCAGTTATTGGTTTTGTGTGTGAAGCTCTTAAATATTGCCAAGTTAAGTTAGTTTCAAAGTAAATAAAGTAAACTGCCGCCAGATTAAAACAAATCCAATTACATTTTAAATGTTCATCATGTTCAAATCCAATTACATTTCAAATGTTTATCATGCTGGGAAATCTGCTCTGTAAGTTTCTTAAATCCCTGTTATGCAGCAAAACTAAACACATTAGCTATTGTTTTCGAATTTGGAATAAAGTACTATTTATTTTTAAATTTTAACGCACATTGTTACATACACCTCGCATTTCGCTCTACATACTATTTAATACACATATTTTGTCTTGAACTTAGTGGATAAACTAAAGACATAGGCAATTGATTTTGTTTTTGCTTTTAAACGGGCCTAGAAAAACGCTTAAGTTTATATTTGCCTTACTGTCACATATTATTATATTTCCTTTGTAGTCTTCTGAAAGCGTTTGTCAATTGCATCTCAACAGGGCAAGCAAAAGAAATATAAAAAGGTTTAAACAAATAACTTTGTAGCAAACCGCAGAGTGAAAATTACGCTTTATCGCCTTTTTTGTTTTGTTTTGTATAATCTCAAATACAAAATACATCGAAAAGTTTTGAGTTATTAGATACATACACATATATATATATATTTAGTTTATTTAGAAATTGTTCTTTAGGTGATCTATGCTTCATATATTCAATTTGTTATTTAAATTTAAATGCATTTAAGTAACGTGTTACATTATTTTATTCATTTTTTAGCTACATGTTTGTCAGGTTGTTGCACTGTAAGAAATTCCTTCACTGATACTCGATCGTAGGTGTACATAATTTCATAACTATATGTATATAATATGTATATATTTGTTTATATATAAATATGTATATATAGCATGTATATTTTAATATGCAATATTGTTTAAATGTCGACTTTTCTTGTTACACTATAACATTTGACTTAAATGATTGCTGACTAGACTAGTGCGTATTGAATCGGATCGCATTTAGAATTGGTTTTCTTTAAGTATGCAAGTCGCTTGGCTGCCATATATTTTCGCTTAGACATTTAAAGTATTTGTTTGGTGTTTGTTCTTTTTGGTTTTTCTTTTAACGATAGCTTGGATACCTAATCTCATTGTTATGCGGATTCAAGCTAACACAAAGGCATCTGCTATTATTTTATTTTTTTGTATAGTTACTATAATCTTGCTTTTAGAATACACATAATTTAGAATACAAATGTGAAAGTTTCGTACTTTGCTTTTATTGTGCGCTTTTTTAGAAAGTTCTTAATCATTGAGTTTGAAGTGTGTGTATTGAAAATTTAAAAATTGCACGCTTTTTAACTATCCCTTTTTTTTTGATTTTGTTGCGATTGTTGTTGCACATTTTGTTCGGTGCGGGTGTTTTTACTTTTTTGGTATAACAAATACTTCAGAGTAACAAAATAATGTGTGTTTTTCGTGTTTCAGTTAAATTAAAAATTAGTAGAAAAATGTACAGAGCTTTGTAATTACAGATAAAATACATTCACACTATATGTACTCATGTGTGTGTGTGTTTGTGTGTGTGTGTGTGTGTGTGTGGGTGGCATTAATGCCTAACTTGCTGGATCCGATATCGGTCAGCGACGACGCTTCTGTCTTTTGTTGTTGTTTTTTTTAGTTGTTAAATCATTGTGTTTGCAGCAGCGCGTTCCAATTACAAATCACTAGAAATAATACGGAGCTAATCGGGTGGGCATATCTAAAGCATTGTCTTTTTAGCACATGAAACGTTAGACATGCGCAATGGGCATTTGAAGCGTCTTCGCATCCCGATAGGATTTATCCTACACGTACTGATGATCCCCGGCCAGTCCATCGGCATCGGCACAGTCGGTGCGCAGCAGCGGTTCCTTCTCAATTGTCTGATGCACCTGCGCATCGTAGTCATAGTAGTTCATCCAATCTACGCGACGCGGCTGCACTAAGCCAAAGCAATTGCAATCCAGAAAGTCAACTAAATTAAGTAGCGGTCCACGCGTAAATGGGCTATGTCCACCCTTGGCCTGGAAATGGCGATATCGACCACGATTCATGCGCTCGTTGGTAGTCATCCCCAAGCAAATCACTTGATACGTTTGGCACACTGTCAGCAGTATGACCCAGGACATGTGCAATAGTGCATTACCCATGACCCAGCCCACCCAAGCATTACAATTGCCAATAGCTCGCATGGCGGTAAGAAAATCTATCAAAATGAAATTAGTCATTTATTTCTAAAACGGAGATTGGGTAAATAAATAGCACACTTACCGTCAAAGTGCACATTACACTCGTTCACATAGTACTTGGAGCCACCGTACAGCATCCAGACGCACATGATCAACAGCATCCAGAGAAAGCCCATGAAGTAACTATGATTCTTGAGACCGATGCAATTGCCTACCCAGGGGCAGTGATGATCGAAACGTGCCACACAACGATCGCACACGGAGCAGTGCTTGGAGCGTATAGGCCGACGCACTAGGCAACCCGAGCAGAAGGAGGCGGGCTCAAAGCCAATACCACCCCGTTCCGACAGCTCAATAATCGTCTGCAAAGGAAAACCAACAATAAAATTGAATATGTAACAATAAGTCAACCAATTTAGTAATATACCTTGAATCGCTGCTCTCTGGTGGGTCGTATAATGCCCGGATCACCCTTCCAGGACTTGAGAAAACATACCCAAAGTCCCAGAGAGCTGATTAGGAAGCACACAGTGGTCGCAAGCGACACAGCATCATCGATATACATAAGCCAGGTGACGTAGAACCAGGCCTTGGTCGCCAGATACACAGAGAGCGGCAGCAGCGCCATCAGATGCTCATCAAACAACGTTTTACCAATGGTATGGAATATGGCATACAGGCAGCCCAACAGGAAAAATTTAATAATGTACAGCGTGTTAACGGTAAAGACAATGCCGGCCAAATAGAAGGCGGTAAACGGGCAGGCGACCATGGCCCACCAGCGCAAGCGTTTATCATGGCGTAGTTTCGAGACGAGAGATCTGCGCTGCTGTGACGTGAGCGATGCATCCCTGATACGATCCAGTACCTTGGCACCAATCCAAATGGCGCCAGCTTGCGTCTCCAGCATCGAAAGCGGCGTCTCGGCGCGCAAATTAGGCACATCCAGGGAAGCTTTCGACTTAAGCACCAGCGTGGATATGGCGGTGGAATTGCGCGCCAGTATGGCCCAATGCAGCGCCGTGTTGCCGTGTGTGTAATCAACCATGGCGGGATTCGCGCCCAAAGTGAGCAGCAGGCGCACAGGATCCAGAGCACACACCTGGTAAGTTAAAGAAAAACATTTATACATAAATTAACACTTCTTTACAATAATAGAATTCCTGCAAGATATATTGATTAGTTTTTATACACTTCGATAAAGCTAAGGCGAGCATCTGCTTTGAAAAGCTGTTTTGTTAAACAGTGTAAGGTGTTCTATTACAAAGTTCACGTTTTGCAAATGTTATATCAATGTCAGAAATTCTTACACTTCATTTGGATTTTAGTGGAGAATAAATTTCAAGTCTTTTTATTATCTATAGAAAATATGAGTATTTTTAGTTATATTATACAACTTTTCATATTCAGTGACTTTTGAAAGTTCTACTTGACGAGCAAACACTGTACAATCTTTCAAGACATCAAATTTGGAATAGAATGCAGAAAAATATATAATCGTACAGCTTTCTGTCCTATGATTTGCTTAATGTTTTATCGACAACTGTGACAAAATCAAAATAAAATCAATTGTCAATTGTTGCACTTGGCTACAAAATGTGAAGAGATTAGGGAAATTCGCTGTCATATTTACTCACCTTCCAGGCGGCCCACATCAGGGCTGTCATACCGCCGCGATCCTGTAGATCAGGATCCACACCCTTGGCTATGAAGTAGGCTACCAAGGCGGTGTGGGCAAACTGTGCAGCAATGTGTATGCAGGAGCAGCCCTCCGCATCGCGTATGCGCGGATCTGCGCCTGCGGCCATCAAGAGAACAACGGCGCCCAGGTGACCCTGCCGTGTGGCCCAATGCAATGGAGTCGCATTTAGCTCACCGCCAACGGCGTCGACAGTGGCGCCTTTTTCTAGGAAATATCTAATGATATCCCGTCGATTGTTAATAGCCGCCCAGTGTAGCAAAGTAACCGTTTCACTGTCCGGCTGATTGACATCCCAGCCGGACTCGACCAGATCCCGAACACGTGCTATAGCACCGTACTGTGTGGCCTTAACGATGTCAAAGCCACTGTAGTCAGGCTCCACGGGCGCTGTGGGTGGTTGTTGCGCTATCAGCGCTGCCTGACGATCGGTATCTGTTTGGCTGCCCGCACCGGGCACGCATGAGCCCGTCGTGGCCGCATTGCAGGCGCTTTGGTACATTTTTGCAGCGTTTTATTAATTATGTGATTGTGATTCACTTAACATCCCCCACAAACACACATACACACCCCCGCCAGGTAATAATGGTATTTGGCTGATATTCACAGGTCAAGCATTTTGCTGGGTATTATTGCCTGCAGCAGCCAATTGTTAAGTGATTACTAAGAAACAAACATAGACGCACATTTAAGTTCTTAAGTATTTACACAGTTATAACTTTTTAATGCGTTTTACATACGAAAATATCTGCTGGTGGTCGGTGTGACCGATTATAAGTACGACCAAAATACTCAACACAAAATACGCAGAGAATAATACCACCAATACATAAGAAATACCGCAAAAAGAAAATGTATTCAAATTAAGCTTTTATTTGCAACATTCTATTTTATATGCTGCATTGCAATTTTTCTATTTCAGCCTAGTTACAAAAGAAAACAAGGTAACCAACCAATTTGTAATTTGCGAAAATTCAAAGGTTTTAAAATAAGACAATTATAAATCAGGCATACGAAATACTTCAAATACCATAAGCTGTAGAGCTGCCAACCTGTTTTAAGCAAACAGTTCCTGCCCGTTTTCCCGCGTACTTGTCGCGTTGTTTTTGCGGCAAATAATTTGCGAATTGTTTGTATTTTAGTTGTTATATTTGTTTATATTATACAAGAAGGCCAGCATGGATGCCAAACGGAAGTTTAATGGCAATGGCCCAGCAAATGGCCATTCTAAAAAGCCCAGGTAGAGTACTAACGATCATTAAAAATATTCCATTTAAATCTTGTGTGGAACGTGCAGAAAATACGACGAGGACGACGAAATGGGCGGTGGATTTGAAGCGGAACTGGCTACTTTTGAGGCAATTGATGAGCTTGACCAATCACAGCTGCTTGGTGAGGGGCCTGAGAATCAACAAACCAGCGAACGCTGGTCACGCGCGCCGCCTCCCCAGCTAGACCCCGCCACAGACTGTTTAATCTTTCAGCAACTGGATGTGGAGAACTATGTGGGGCAAGCTCAACCGGGCATGCCTGGCGCACAACTGGGTCCTGTGCCCGTGGTCCGCATGTTTGGTGTCACAATGGAGGGCAACTCCGTATGCTGTCATGTGCACGGTTACTGTCCGTATTTCTATATAACTGCACCACGCGACTTTGAGCAGCGCCACTGCTCGGATCTGCATGAGGCGCTGGACAAGAAGGTTATCGCCGACATGCGTGGCAACAAAGATAATGTACAAGAGGCAGTGCTAGCCGTGGAGCTGGTGCAGCGACTCAATATACACGGCTACCAGGGTGATGATAAGCAGACGTATATTAAGATTACGGTTACTATGCCACGTTTTGTGGCCGCCGCTTCGAGGCTGCTCAAGAAGGAGGTCATAATGAGCAACTTTGACTTCCAGGACTGTCGGGCCTTTGAGAATAACATCGACTTTGATATCCGCTTCATGGTGGATACGCATGTGGTCGGCTGCAATTGGATTGAATTGCCGCCGGGTGTTTGGCGTCTACGTGGACGCAACTCCAAGCTGGCGACCGAATCGCGTTGTCAAATAGAAGTAGATGTCGCCTATGACCAATTTATATCGCATGAGCCTGAAGGCGAATGGTCCAAAGTGGCGCCCTTGCGTATACTTAGCTTTGACATTGAGTGCGCCGGACGTAAAGGCATCTTTCCGGAAGCCAAAATGGATCCGGTTATACAAATTGCCAATATGGTCATAAGACAGGGCGAATCGGAACCTTTCATTCGGAATGTTTTCACTTTAAAACAATGTGCGCCCATCATAGGCAGCCAGGTGCTGAGCTATGACCAGGAGACGCAGCTCCTGGACAAGTGGTCGGCCTTTGTGCGCGAAGTGGATCCCGACATACTAACTGGTTACAACATTAACAATTTCGACATACCCTACCTACTAAATCGTGCTGCCCATTTGAAGGTGAAAAACTTTGAATACTTGGGACGCATTAAGAATATACGTTCGGTTATCAAGGAGCAGATGCTGCAGTCCAAACAAATGGGCAGACGCGAGAATCAATATGTTAACTTCGAGGGACGTGTGCCGTTTGATTTGTTTCTCGTGCTGCTGCGTGATTACAAATTGCGCTCGTACACACTCAACGCTGTGAGCTATCATTTCTTGCAGGAGCAGAAAGAGGATGTGCATCATAGCATCATTACGGATCTACAAAATGGAGATGAACAGACCCGACGTCGTCTGGCCATGTACTGTTTAAAGGATGCGTATTTGCCGCTACGTTTGCTCGGCAAGCTGATGGCCATTGTTAATTACATGGAAATGGCGCGTGTGACGGGTGTGCCGCTTGAATCGCTGCTCACAAGGGGCCAGCAAATCAAAGTGCTGAGTCAACTGCTGCGGAAGGCCAAGACAAAGGGTTTTATAATGCCATCCTACACCTCGAGTGGCTCCGATGAACAGTACGAGGGTGCCACGGTCATAGAGCCGAAAAGGGGATACTATGCGGATCCCATAAGCACACTCGATTTTGCCTCGCTATATCCGAGCATAATGATGGCGCACAATCTGTGTTACACCACATTGCTGCTGCCTGGCACTAAGGATAAGATGGGTCTGACCGATGACCAAGTGGAGCGCACGCCTGCCAATAATGTCTTTGTGAAGGCGGAATTGCGTCGCGGCCTATTGCCCGAAATTCTCGAGTCACTCTTGGCGGCACGAAAGCGTGCCAAAAATGATCTAAAAGTGGAAACAGATCCCTTTAAGCGTCAGGTACTGGATGGCCGGCAGCTGGCATTGAAAATCTCGGCAAATTCTGTGTATGGCTTCACAGGTGCCCAGGTGGGCAAATTGCCATGCTTGGAAATCTCGGGCAGCGTCACCGCCTATGGACGCACCATGATTGAATTGACCAAAAACGAGGTTGAATCACACTATACACGCGCCAATGGCTATGAGAATGATGCAGTTGTTATTTATGGCGATACAGATTCGGTTATGGTTAACTTTGGCGTGAAGACACTGGAGCGCAGCATGGAGCTGGGCAGAGAGGCGGCCGACTTGGTTAGCTCCAAATTTGTGCGACCCATCAAGTTGGAATTCGAAAAGGTCTACTATCCATACCTGCTGATTAACAAGAAGCGCTATGCGGGCTTGTACTTTACCAAGCCCGACAAGTATGATAAAATGGATTGCAAGGGCATTGAGACAGTGCGTCGCGATAATTCGCCACTGGTGGCCAATCTAATGAATGCGTGCCTGCAAAAGCTGCTGATCGAACGCGATCCGGATGGCGCTGTTGATTATGCTAAACAAGTAATCGCTGATCTGTTATGCAATCGCATAGACATATCCCAGCTGGTTATTACCAAAGAGCTGGCCAAAACAGATTATGCCGCCAAGCAGGCGCATGTGGAGCTGGCGGCCAAGATGAAGAAGCGCGATGCTGGCACAGCTCCCAAACTGGGCGATCGTGTGCCCTATGTCATTTGTGCAGCAGCCAAGAATACACCGGCTTATCAAAAGGCAGAGGATCCGCTGTATGTGCTGGAGAACAGTGTGCCCATCGATGCTAATTATTATTTGGAGCAGCAGCTGTCCAAGCCACTGCTGCGCATCTTCGAGCCCATACTGGGCGATAAAGCGGAATCAGTGCTGCTTAAGGGCGAGCATACGCGTACGCGTACCGTGGTCACATCCAAGGTGGGCGGGCTGGCGGGCTTTATGACCAAAAAGACTTCCTGTCTCGGCTGCAAATCGCTTATGCCCAAAGGCTATGAGCAGGCCTCGCTATGCCCACACTGTGAGCCAAAGATGAGCGAGCTTTATCAAAAGGAGCTGGCTTCCAAGCGGGGCTTGGAGGAAACCTTTGCGCGCCTATGGACAGAATGCCAGCGTTGTCAGGGCTCGCTGCATGAGGAGGTAATCTGCTGTAATCGTGATTGTCCCATTTTCTATATGCGACAAAAGGTGCGCCTAGAACTGGACACACAGCAAAAGCGTGTGCTACGCTTTGGACTGCCTGAATGGTAGCTGTTCCATATACACATATTTGCATACATTATAAACCTATAATTTAATAATTATATTACTAGAAGTTATTACAAAGTTGTGTGTGTGTATGTGTTTGGATATTTGCGCAAGCGTTATAGATCTTCCAACTATCTCTGGGTGACACTTTGGACAATTTTACAAGGGGGCAGGCTCATCTAGGGTTCTCGGGGCGTGACTATTTTCGGGTTTGCAGCGTATTTGATAACCAGTCCATGGCCTGATCCAGGCCCTCGCCTTTGGTGGCCGATGTTTTAAATATTTGAAATGTGCGATTTTTTAGATTTTCCAAACCTAACGCATGATGTACCTCGGCCACGGTCATGCAACCCTCCATGTCCTGTTTATTGGCAAGCACAACGAGTATCGCGCCGGCGAGCTCCTCCTCGCGCAGCATGTACAACAGTTCATCCTTCGAAATGCCAATGCGGTCACGGTCCGCCGAATCAACCACATAGATAATGGCGTCTGTATTGCTGTAATAGCAACGCCAGTAAGGTCTAGAAAAAAAAATGTTTTTAAATATTTTTCCAGAAAGATGTTATCTATTTTAGTCTATTGATTGATTGTAAGGACGCGAGCACATAGTAAATGTTCAGCATCTCTCACCTAATACTTGTCTGCCCGCCCAGATCCCAGACTTGGAACTTAAGGTTCTTGTATGTGACCTGCTCCACGTTGAAGCCAATTGTGGGTATCGTTGTAACCACCTCGCCGACCTGCAGCCTGTACAGTATTGTTGTTTTGCCGGCGCCGTCCAGGCCCAGAATTAAGATGCGCATCTCTCTGGATCCGAGCAGACCACGAAAATAGCTGAGCACCCCACCTGCAGTAAAAATAAAAAAAAATGAAATCAGAAAATTGATAGGTGGTGACTTTTATGACAGGCGCCAGACACGATAAACGAGAACCATGCAAAGATTGGACCGTGCTACTACTGGGGTGCCTTACCTACCCATGATTAAAGCTCGATTGCAGCGTACTAATTGCCTCTAAATGCTTAAGTATTATTTAAAACTAACTATTTTATTATGCCCTTTAAACGAATTCTGCTCTTGTTTTCACCAAATGACAAAAATTCTGCCATTCACAGGTGACGTAAACATGACGTGTCATAGCGTGCGTTCAGCAGGCCGCAAATATTTTTATTCAATATAATTAACTTATTAAAATTATGCAACATTGTTATTAAAATAATGGAATAGCGCGGTCTATGACAAACTATGTTTCTTTATAACAAAATTTTTGCAATGAGTTATGTTAAGCTGAACGTAGCCAATTTTTGCCGGTGCATAGGGTTGCCACAGTTTTGAATTTGTTATACAGAGACGTCCGCCATTGTCGCGTCTATCGCCCAATAAAAAGTGTGAAAATCGGGGGACCTAAAACGTATTCAAATTGTGCAAATAGGTAAAATTTCGGTCTAAATTTTGTGCAATATAGTGTCTGATAATATCACTGATATGTGTGTCGTGTAAAACAAGCGCAGCGACGGCTTTTTACATGAGTTTTAAGGCATGTGCAAATAAAGTGTGTGTGCGGTGAGGAGGAGACCAACAAAGCCAAATAACGATTACATATACAGTTTATATACATTTAAATGGACTTTGCGCAAAACTTAGAGCAATGAAATGCTGAAAACTAAGCAAAAATACTGTATTTTTATGTTTGCACAACTTTTTAGCTAACATTTATAGGGGCTGTCCATTGCAAAACGAACTCATATAAAACGCAGCGAAATGGCCTCGCCCTCGCCGGCGAATAGTCCGATGCCGCCACCGCAGGCACCCAGCCCTATGGCGCCACCCTCTCAAAGCCCTGCGCCCTCGCCACATAGTCCCTATCCGCACCAGCCACCCCAAGGGCCGCCGCAGGGACCACCGCCTGGTGCACCGCACATGCAAGGACCACCCCCTCCGGGCCATCCAGCTGGACCATACGGCCATCCCATGCAACATGGACCGCCCGGGCAGGGTCCACCAGGCCATCATATGCCACCGCATCATCAGGGCATGAGTATGCGCATAACTCGATAGTTTTTAATAAACACATTTAATATCAAATTATCTTATTTACAGCGCCGCATATGGGCATGCAAATGCCACCAGCTGGACCGAATATGTCGCCGATTGGCTATCAAACGCACGGCATGCCGCCCAATGTAAGTGCAGTAATTGGCTTATAAACTAAGTGAATGTGTAGGCCTTAATTTGAGCTGATTGCTCGATCAGTTGTATGATCTCCTGGGCAAGCGGCTCTGTGCCGGCGGCCACAAGGTTTGGCTTCATTAAATTAAACACGCTGCCATTTGTATTATGTACCACCCCGCCGGCTTCGCGCACCAGCAGCACTCCGGCAGCTACATCCCAGGGCTTTAGATAGTCCACGTGATAAGCATCCAGAGTGCCCTTTGCTACATACGCCAGGGATAAGGCAGCACTTGCTAAGCATCGCGTGCTGTCCATGCATTTGTATGTTTTAGTTCGTGAACCATTGCTCATTTTATCATGGCTTACCCAGCAGCTACAGAACCCAGTTTATAAGCACGTTTAAGGCATCTATCACGCAATGGAGCCACATTAACGAGCGTTATTTCGTGTCCTACCACCGCGCTGGACATCTGAAATATCACAATTCGTTAATTAACCCCTGTGTTTATGTGTCCATGTGGTATATAATAACCGTAGCCGCACTGGATACTTTAATGGGTTCACCATTTAGAAAGGCTCCGTGTCCCCTCCACGTCGAGTACAATTCATTTGCCGCTGGGTTGTAGATAATGCCCACCGCAAGCTGCTTATCAATCGCCAAAGCAACCGAAATACCACAATGCGGAAGCCTGTGTATGTAATTTGTGGTGCCATCGATGGGATCAATGATCCATGTAGGTGCATCTGTCAGCTCCGGCAGCTGCTTCGTATCAGCTAACGCTTCCTCACCTATGAAATGTGATTCAGGGAATGCTTTCAGTAGACCCTCGGTTAGCTTTTCTTCAATTTGACGGTCGTAGACGGTGACAAGGTCAAAAAAGGCCGCTTTCACCATAACCTCTTTGTTTGTTTTATTGTAGCCCTCCCTAAATATGGGACCACATTTGATAACTAAGTCCAGAGCAACATCGTAGTACTCCTTGATCTTTGAGTCGCTTATATGGGCCATATCTATAGACTTCTTGAAAGCCAAAATAGATATATATACGTATTAATTTGTACATATTTGGCTGATCGTAAAGTGAGACTTACAAAAAGGCTTGCGGTCCGTTCAACAACAAAGCGAAATGTTAATTTATCTACTATTTTGATTACAAAGTTTCCAGAGCTTTTTATTCAAAGCTCTGCCCATCAAAGAGATAACAATTAAAGCCCAAATTGAGCTTTTGTATGCATACTCTTAAATTATTTTAATTGCTGAGCTTTATTTGTTTTTTCTTTTTGTCCCCTATATATTTGTTAATTACGTTTTTTTTTTTTATAACATTCTAAACTTCTCCGCCCCCCACGGAACGCTCTTGGTCCGCCTTGCGGAGCAGGTTTTCAATTTCTTTGCGCAACTCTTCGGTCCCAGCGCAAATTAAATCCGGTTTCATTATGTCGAAAGGTCCGCCAAAAGGATGTGTCACCACTCCTCCAGCCTCACGCACCAGTAATGAGCCAGCGGCACAGTCCCAAGGGTACATGTCCTCAATATAAAATGCATCCAAATTGCCGGCGGCCACCATGCATAGTTCATCCACCACACAGGAGTAGGCTAGCATGCTGGTCACAGAATAACAACAAGATTAAAGCATTTCAAGATGGCAATATTAGCTAACTTACCGCCTAGCATGCAACCCCACATGATAGATGCGTTTGATATGCTTGTTCGCCACTTTGTGAACGTGCAGTAAAGACACCTCATAGGCCACATTGGCATCCCTCAGACGCTCACAATTGCTGACATGAATGGGTTTACCATTGCAGAAGGCGCCTTGCCCCAACTTAGCTGTGTAGAGCTTGCCCTGGGCTGGATTATTCATAACGCCCAGCACGATTTGCTTATTGATGGAGAGACCTATCGAAACCGATACGTGGGGTATCTGTTTAATGAAGTTGGAGGTGCCATCGATGGGATCTATGATCCAGGTGGGCGCATCTGTCAGCTCCTTAGACACGTTGTTGTTCTTGGCCGTCTCCTCCTCACCAATAAACTTATGCTGCGGATATTTGGCCAATATTTCGCCCATAAGATACTCCTCGATTTTGTTGTCATAGTCGGTGACCACATCATAAAATGCACCCTTAATATCCACATTCTTCTCTTTCAGCTCGTAGCCCTCGAGCAGAATTTCGCCCGCCCTTATGGCTAGCGGGTAGATAAAGTTATACAACTCCTCAATTTCCGTTAACATCTTTCAGCTGTATGCAAATGACAATTGATCTATGCAATCCGCGCGGTCGTTGTTAGCGTCTTGGTTCCAGCTGCCGACTGATCGGCGAGCGAAGCTCCGACAATTTCAACAATCTCTCGCATTTGTTTACATTGAGCTTTGATTGCTGCACTGAACTGAAGATGAACTGAAAATTGAAATCAGTTGCTTGCTGCCTGCTCCAGCTTTATCTCGTTTAGTTTGACGACTACAAATAGAAGTTTCGTTATCTTTAACAGACATGTGTCTATTGCATAGGGTAGTCAGCAAATTGCGAGAAAGAAAACCGGTTTCAATTGACAACTGAAAAGTCATCCTCCTATGATGCAATTTTTATTGTCTCTATCTAGAACGCGAGATATTTTTTAAGTTCCATTATCTTAAATATTTTATATTATATTTATCCATTAGGATAAATATTTATTATCTTCCAAGTAAAACTTGAAATGTTTTCTTAACTTGAGCAGATTCCATATATGTATATTATTCAGACAGGCTTTTTGTTATATTTTTGGTTTCATTTTGCAATTTTTATATACTTAAAATCTTTGTCAACTGGAGTAGAGCCCATATATTGCCCATATATTAAGACCCAAGCTTTTTGTTATATTTTATTAGCAGCATAAAGTTTTGATTGCATTTTAGAATTTTTATATATTTACAATTTACTTAAATGTATATTCCGTAATTTGATCGGCTTCTTTAATGAGACTCATCACATTCTTGGCCAGTTCATCTGTGCTGCCGCACACAAGATCCGGTTTCATGACATTAAATTTACCGCCTTTGGTATGATAAATGGTGCCACCCGCCTCCGTTAGTATTACGGCTCCGGCTGCAATATCCCACGGCTTCAGGTCTTCAACATGATAGGTATCGCACTGTCCAGTCGCCACATAGCACAAGGCCAGCGCGCCGCTGCCAAAGCTGCGAGTACTGTAAAAAACAATGGGAGTGCTTTTTCTACTCTCTCGCACAATTTAAGCTCAATGTTGAACTCACGCGGTGGCATTTGAGCCCAACTTGTAAAGGCGTTTTACATTCTTGTCTCTCACGGCGGCGGCATGTATCAGCGAGATTTCGTAGGCAACCACAGCTTGCTTGATCTGAAAAAAAGCTTCCTAAATGAGAGAGCGACACAAAGAAAAAAAAACAACTGAGAGAATCGAAAACTTTTGTTTATGATTCGCGGGTGCAAGCAAACAGTTAACGAAGTTGGACTATTCATACTTATACTGCGGTCTCTTTATCATCATGATTGTTGTGTTTTTTCGGCAATTATATAATTATAACCAACCAAAACTTACCGTAGTCACTTTAGAGGTGTGTATGCGCTGTCCATTCAAGTAGGCGCCGTGACCTTTCCACGCCGAGAACAGCTCATTTGCCGGCGGATTGTATATAATGCCGACGACCAGTTCTTTGTTGATGGTCAAACCGACCGAAATGCAACAATGTGGTATGCGATGTACAAAATTTGTGGTGCCATCAATGGGATCAATGATCCAGGTGGGCGCATCTGTTAATACGGCTTGCCGTTCTGAAGCTGCCGATTCCTCCTCGCCAATGATTAGGGATTCGGGAAAGGCTGCCTGCAGACCCGCCGTGAGGGCATCCTCGATCTGTTTGTCATAAACGGTGACCAAGTCATAAAAGTCTGCCTTAACCGTAAAATCCGCTTTGGGCTTCCTATAACCCTCCATCAGCATAGGACCACATTTCTGCACCAAATCCAGAGCAACCTCGTAATACTCCTTCAGCTTCGCCTCACTAATTGTGCTGTTGCTCATGATTCTTGTTTTGGACTTGACAAACTGACGCTAACCAATGAATTTTAATATCTAATTTGAGTTGCGGCCATACAGCTTTAAAAAGCTTTGTCAAAGCTCTAGCATGCAAAAAACTTTGAACTTTGAAGAGTAGAGTCGTGCGAAAGGGGTATTGTTGCTTTATGATTAAGTCTGATCCAATTCGGGATGATAGTCAAGAATAAATGATAAGGCTTATCTTTGACTTAATTACCATGTCTACATCTCCTTAAAGCTATAAAGCTGTTGTAACATTGATAAGATACGCGCAATGTAAATTTGTGTCACTTGATAAGAAATATTATTAATACAAAGCAGAAAGCTATTTATAAAATAATTGCACAAAATGTTACATGCAGAGTCTCTAAACTCAGTACGAATTTTAAATATTTTATTTAAAAAAAAATATTTTTAAATATGTTAAATTAAAGTAAATTACTTTGAGTTGGCTGATTTAACTTGAAGTTAAATTGCGTTAGGTGCTGCCACTTCTTAAAATACTGATAGTAAGGCAACTCCACGCGTATGCCTTGCGAGGTGGCATCATTAAATTTCATTTAAAATTTTCAAACAGCGCAGGAAAAACTGCACAGTTTGGATGTTCACTGTAGCTAATTTAATAGACATACTTATTTTTCTCGTATATACGAAACTTGTTTATTGTCCACACCAAAAAAAAAAAGAACAGTTTTAATGTATATTTAAGTATCTTCTTCGCCTCCCACAGACTTGGCTTGATCTGCCTTGCGTATAAGAGTTTCAATTTGCTTTCGTAATGCCTCGGTTCCGGCGCATATCAAGTCGGGCTTCATAATGTCGAAGGCGCCACCATAAGGATGCGTAACAACGCCGCCAGCCTCACGTATAAGCAGATAGCCAGCGGCACAGTCCCAGGGGTACATGTCCTCAATGTGAAAGGCATCCAAGTTGCCAGCGGCGACCATGCAAAGCGAATCCACCACAGCGGAATAGCCAAGCAAGCTAAGCAAAGGAATATTAAACAGAGTTTGATTTCCATGTGAATCATTTAATTGTACTCACCGTCTCGCCTGAGAGCCCACATAGTATATGCGTTTGATGTGCTTTTTTCTAATCGTTGGCTCGTGCAGCAGACACACCTCATAGGCCACATTGGCATCGTTCAGACGCTCACAATTGCTGACATGAATGGGTTTACCATTGCAGAAGGCGCCTTGGCCCAACTTGGCTGTGTAGAGCTTGCCCTGGGCTGGATTGTTCACGACGCCCAGCACGATTTGCTTATTGATGGAGAGACCTATCGAAACCGATACGTGGGGTATCTGTTTAATGAAATTGGAGGTGCCATCGATGGGATCTATGATCCAGGTGGGCGCATCTGTCAGCTCCTTGGTTATGTTGTTGTTCTTGTGCGTATCCTCCTCGCCAATAAATTTATGCTCTGGATAGCTTGCCAGTATGCTGGTCATGAGAAACTCCTCAATCTCATTATCGTATTCGGTGACTACGTTGTGGAATTCGTTGCGCTTCAATGCCACAGATTTTCCAGAATTCTGATAGCCTTCGAGTAGTATTTCACCTGCTTTTACAGCTAGCGGGTAGATGAACTTGTAAAGCTCCTCAATTTCCATTGTGCTTGTCATTGTATCTTTCGAGTCTAAAGATTCTGGCAGCGTTGGCACCTGCCTTCGAGAAATGAATTCGCACTGAGCTGTCGAACTGGAATTTTCACTCATCGTGACTGAGATTTTTTCAAAGTTTTGTGAGATACAAAAAGCTTTTTCTTTAATTGTTTTGTAAATTAAAACCAGACATGCTATCTTTGCGGAGTCGACGCTTCTATACTCTTGCAAAAGGGTTAATACTGAGAACAATTTGTTTGTTTTTTAGATTTGTAGAAACCGTCTTTGATAAATTTTTAAATGCTCATAAGAAACCTCTGAAAAATTTTCTATAAATAAAGTTAATTAAATATTAATAATATTATGAAGCTATCTAATAATTGATATAAGTTCAAGGAAGTGTTTGTGAAAATGGATTAGCGACCCTTAAAAAATAACTCTGGGGCAGGGATGTTATATTGGATTAATTCATCAGTTATCTACTTGACAAATGTTTGGAGTCTCTTGTTATCTGAAATCTATATTTATGCAGGGTCCGCCACAGCCTGGTCAAGGCCCGCCTGGTGGTCCACCTGGCGGTCCGCCCGAGCGTTCCGGCCAAGAGAATCTGCATGCCTTGCAACGGGCCATTGATTCAATGGAGGAGAAGGGACTGCAGGAGGATCCACGCTACTCACAACTGCTGGCAATGCGCGCCACCTCCAAGCACCAGCATCTCAATGGCAATCAGGTTAATCTGCTGCGCACACAGATCACTGCCTACCGCATGCTGGCACGCAACAAACCCATTTCCATGCAGATGCAGCAGGCGTTGCAGGCGGCACAGCAGCAGCAACAGCAACAACCGCCGCCGCCCATCGGACCGCCGGGTATGCCGGGTGGACCGCCGCCGGGTGTGCCGCATGGGGGTCAGCAGCCTATGCAGCCCCAACAGCCGCCCTCGACAGGCACCCCGCCCCAGTGTTCTACACCACCAGCTAGTCCATACGGCCCACCAGTGCCTGGACAGAAAATGCAGCCAGCGCCGCCTCCGCATATGCAAGGGCAACCGTTGCAGCCCCAGCCGCCGCTGATCGGTGGCGCTCCTCCGCCGCCGCAGCAGCAACAACAGATGCAGCAGCAACAGCAGCAGCAGCAACAGCAGCAACAACAAATGCAGCAGCAGCAGCAACAACAACAGCAACAGCAACCTCTGCAGCCCCCACCAGACCAGTTGCAGCATCAGCAGCACAATGGTGGTAAGCCGCTGGCCATGGGTGTAGCTGGGGGCCCGCCGTTGATACCAGCTTCACCTATGCAGGTGCAGGGCGTGCGTCCTGCGGCGCCAGGTCTGCCTGGTAATCAAGTTGCGCCACCGGGTCCGCCGAGACCAGGCGCACCGCCCGGACAGCAACAGCCAATGGCCAAACCAAACCGCGTAACCACCGTGGCCAAGCCTGTGGGTCTCGATCCTATAACGTTGCTGCAGGAACGCGAGAATCGCATTGCCGCACGCATATCTCTTCGCATGCAGGAGCTACAAAGGCTGCCGGCCACAATGTCTGAGGATCTGCGCCTTCAGGCGGCTATTGAGTTGCGTGCTCTGCGCGTTCTGAACTTTCAACGTCAGCTGCGCATGGAAATTGTACAATGCACACGCCGCGACACAACGTTGGAGACTGCCATCAATATGAAGTTCTACAAGCGTACCAAGCGTCAAGGGCTGCGCGAGGCTCGCGCCACTGAGAAGCTCGAGAAACAGCAGAAACTCGAGGCGGAACGAAAACGCAGACAGAAGCATCTCGAGTTCTTGTCTGCAGTGCTGCAGCATGGCAAGGATCTGCGTGAATATCATCGCAATAACAAGGTGGGTACAAATAGTCCAGAAGTTTTTCCAAACACTAAATCTCAATTCCCACTGTGCAGGCTCAGCTGGCGCGGATGAACAAGTCCGTCATGAACTACCATGCGAATGCGGAACGTGAACAGAAGAAGGAACAGGAGCGCATCGAGAAAGAGCGTATGCGTCGCTTGATGGCCGAGGATGAGGAGGGCTACCGCAAGCTGATCGATCAGAAGAAGGACAAGCGCTTGGCATTCCTGCTGTCGCAGACAGACGAGTACATAAGCAATCTCACACAGATGGTCAAGCAGCACAAGGACGACCAGATGAAGAAAAAGGAGGAGGAGGGCAAACGTCTGCAGCAGTACAAAAAGGAGCTGCTCATGACCGGCGAATACGTCAACATTGATGAGAGCAGCATTGCCGCCGATATGCGTGTCCATGTGGTGGAGCAATGCAGCGGCAAGAAGCTAACTGGTGATGATGCACCGATGCTTAAGCATTTACATCGCTGGCTGAACATGCATCCCGGTTGGGATTGGATAGACGATGACGATGACGAGAACGACGGTTCGCCAGAGAAGAAAGCGAAACCAAAGCTTGAGGAACAGCCACAGTTGGAGCGTAATTCTAGCGCAGAGGGATCTGAAGACACAACAGACAAATCGGCGCAATCAGGTGATCCAGAAGCCAACGATTTGATTAACCAAGTCAAGGTCGAGGATGATGAATATCGTACTGAGGAGCAAACATACTACAGCATTGCGCACACCGTGCATGAGAAGGTCACAGAGCAGGCCGCTATTATGGTCAATGGCCAGCTAAAAGAGTATCAGTTGAAGGGTCTCGAATGGCTCGTCTCGCTGTATAACAACAATTTGAATGGCATTCTGGCCGACGAGATGGGTCTCGGCAAGACCATTCAGACCATTTCACTGGTCACCTATCTAATGGATCGCAAGAAGGTGATGGGTCCGTATTTAATCATTGTACCACTTTCCACACTCCCCAATTGGGTGCTGGAGTTTGAGAAATGGGCGCCCTCCGTTGGCGTTGTCAGCTACAAGGGCAGTCCCCAGGGTCGCCGTCTGCTCCAGAATCAAATGCGTGCCACCAAATTCAATGTGCTGCTCACCACTTACGAGTATGTGATCAAGGACAAGGCGGTGCTGGCCAAGATACAATGGAAGTACATGATCATAGACGAGGGTCATCGCATGAAGAATCATCATTGTAAATTGACGCAGGTGCTCAATACACATTACATAGCTCCTTATCGACTGCTACTCACGGGCACACCGCTGCAGAATAAGCTGCCCGAACTTTGGGCGCTGCTCAACTTTTTGCTACCTTCCATTTTCAAATCTTGCTCCACCTTTGAGCAGTGGTTCAATGCGCCGTTTGCCACCACCGGCGAGAAGGTTGAACTGAATGAGGAGGAAACCATTTTGATTATTCGCCGCTTACACAAGGTGCTGCGTCCGTTCCTGTTGCGCCGTCTCAAAAAGGAGGTCGAACACCAGCTACCCGACAAGGTCGAGTACATTATCAAGTGCGACATGTCCGCACTGCAGCGCGT